CATGTCACAAACAAAACTTCACAGATCACACACTGGAAATAAACATTTTTCCATACTTATCATAACTAGTAATTTCAAGAGGTTATAACAAATCACAAGGCCTCTCGACAAGCAACAGACCCCGTCACAATCAAAACTTTACACAAATATGTAACCTGGAACCCGAAATAAACATTTTTCATTATCAATAGGAACAATTACAAGCAGTATACAGTTTTCAAGGCTTTTCTGCAAACAACTGACCACATCACCATCAAAACCTTACACACCAGTCTGTAACCTCAAACTGGAAATAAACATTTTTCAATATTCAGCATCACCATAAATGTAAGAGGCAATATACAGATTTCAAGGCTTTTCTGCAAACAACTGACCGCGGCACAATCTAAACTCCACACACTAGTTTGTAACTTGGAACCCGAAATAAACATTTTTAATAATCAACAGGAACTAGAGGCAGTTTACAGTTTTCAAGGCTTCTATGGAAACATTTCAAGGTTACTTGGCAACAACCAACAACACTGAAATCAAAACCTCACACACATTTGTAAGCATTAACATAAAGATAGAACTAGTGAGAAGCAGTATCTAATTTCCAAGGCTCCTCAAACAACTGACAGTGTCACAATCAAAACTCAAAGTTCCTCGGCAAACAACTGACAGTGTCACAATCAAAACTCAAGCCTTCTCAGCAAACAACTGACCACGTCACAATCAAAACTCAAAGCTTCTCGGCAAACAACTGACAGCGTCACAATCAAAACTCAAGGCTTCTAGGCAAACAACTGACAGCGTCACAATCAAAACTTCTCGACAAACAACTGACAGCGTCACAATCAAAACTCAGGGCTTCTCGGCAAACATCTGACCACGTCACAATCAAAACTCAAGGCTTCTGGGCAAACAACTGACCACGTCACAATTAAAACTCAAAGCTTATGGCAAACAACTGACCACATCACAATAAAAACTCAAAGCTTCTGGCAAACAACTGACAGTGTCACAATCAAAACTCAAAGCTTCTCGGCAAACAACTGACCAAGTCACAATCAAAACTCAAGGCTTCTCGGCAAACAACTGACCACGTCACAATCAAAACTCAAGGCTTCTAGGCAAACAACTGACCACGTCACAATCAAAACTCAAGGCTTCTCGGCAAACAATTGACTGCGTCACAATCAAAACTCAAAGCTTCTCGGCAAACAACTGACAGTGTCACAATCAAAACTCAAAGCTTCTTGGCAAACAACTGACAGCATCACAATCAAAACTCAAAGCTTATGGCAAACAACTGACCAAGTCACAATTAAAACTCAAGGCTTCTCGGCAAACAACTGACCACGTCACAATCAAAACTCAAAGCTTCTGGGCAAACAACTGACCACGTCACAATTAAAACCTTACATACAACTCCGCAAATAATTGACTGCGTCACAATCAAAACCTAACACACAAGTCTGTAACCACAAACCCAAAGTAAGGCCTGTGGAAAAAGCTGCAAAAACAGGAATATATGCATTTCTCCACATTTACAAAAATGCCAACCATACAGGTTAAGGGTGCAAGCATTTTTTTAAAGCTTAAATACTTTAACCATTAAGCAGGGTTTAAGGCTCCATTGAATGTTTATAAACATAAATCAACTGTTTTACATACAATATTAATCCTCATTATAAATCAGCAATTTTTAAATACTAAAGCAATTATGGCACATTCTCACTCTCAATCTGGAAGATATCGTAAATCTTTAATAAGCAATACAAAAACAGATCTTTTCTTGACATTTTTACAATAAACTATTAAAAGAGTCTTAGTTTAAGCATGCAGGAACCGAAACTGTGCAGTCTGGGCAATCAGTACATAGATGTAACCAAGCCACTCTGTACACATCCCATTAGTCTGAACACACTCTATATTGCTCTCTGAGCACCCCTCCCCTCCGTGATCTTCTAAGTTACATTTCAAAAATAAAATGAATTTTTGTCAAGTCCAATAAAAGAACTGACATCAATGTTTACAACATTGTTAAAACAAGACAGTACTAAACTTTAGCGGCAGATTTTCTAAACTTCAATTCCACATTCCATATGTCCATTTTCATATGATTGTGCATCAGCGAGCATTTTTAAATTGATCATAATTGTCAGACATATTTTCAGAAAAAGACTTTATTAAGCTTTAGATGTCAACTATATACATTCTTTTTGCAGTATCAGAGTTTACACTCATTTTTGGTTACCTCTAAAACCATATGGTAAAACTACTTTCAATCCATAAAGTCTGAGGTTATTATGAATAACAGCCGAGGCGTTCCAATTGGGTATTTTTGCAAAAGGTTGAAGACAAAACTTGAGTTAAAAGAATTTTCCTAAAGAAAGCTGCTCTTCAACAGCCCTAGCTACATAATGACAGAAAAGTCCCACCTCCATATGAAACCTTAGTTGTTATGCCAACAACATAGAGCCTGGTCAGACTACTAAGATGCAACATGCAGGCTGGCCGGGTTATATACATGTACTTGCTAAAACTGTGCACTTTCAGTTGCTGCAAGTTATGTTTAAAGACAAACTAATCTAACAATATTTTTCTTAATGGCACATGATTGTATAACAAACAATACAAAGAAAATATATATAACACAAACATTCAGTAAACAGCACTTGTTCATTTTTAAATGAAGCATAAAGTTATTTTGAGTATTATATTTTAAGTACAGGGTAATGATTATAAACATACATTACCTTTAACATATGGCATCAGATGAAATTTACTGTACAATTATGCAAGTATTATTATGTCATCCAAGTCCAACTTATTACCAAGATTCGTCAAAGTGGCATCAAAATAATTTTTGAACAGGCAATTCATTTTTCCAAGTCAAACCACCACTATGGACAATGCCAGTTAAGAGCGATAAAAAGCAAAGTATCAAGAAATGAGCAGCGTCACGACAAAACCAACATAGTGCGTTTGCGACCAGCATGAGCATCCCCGCAGTCTGATCAAGATCCATGCTGTTCGCTATCAGTTTCTCTACTTGTTATAGGGACTGTAAGCGAACAGCATGGATCCTGATCAGACTGCACAGATGCGCAGGCTGATCTGGATCCATGCTGGTCGCAAACGCATTATGTTGGTTTTGTCATGGCACGGCTCATATAAAATTTTGGAATGTATCTGGAGTAAAACAAATTTTATCTAATTAAATCTTCTATATATGAATATAATTTTCAAAGTTTTCAATATAATTATTATTATTCTACAATGCACAATTCTACCAAAATCATATTCAAAATAGATATTTCCAAGTATGTAATATTTTCAAAACCTGAATCAAAAACATCACAAAAATAACATTAGAACAAAAAAAACCCACAAAAAACTATGGAGCAGAATTTGGGTATTTATTTGCTGTTTATCTTTCAATTTTTTATTTATCTAATTTATATTCGTATTCATTAAATTCTTATCTATAATCATATAAATTTAAATTGATTTAAACAAGTTTAATTGCTACTTTTTTATTGACAGTTTAACATTTGTATTTTGATACTGCAGAATGTTAAGATCAATTGTTTCTACTTGTTTAAACTATGTGATAAGACATTATGTTGCATACTTCTCCCTTTTCAATTTGAAGAATTTAGTTTTAACTTATGATGTTGAACGTGCTTTCTTTTAAGAATACAAAGTGGGATACATAACACTGAAATAAAATCTATACGAATGCACCTAGACGAAATACGAACTGCAATAAAACGAATACGAAATTACATTATACATCTGGCCAGGAACCAATATTTCCGTACAAGTCCATAATTTCTGACGGTGTAACCTTTGAAATGATCTCTTCAAACAAATCCACGAAATCCAGGGTAGCACTCCACAGTTTATTTCAAGTTCCTGCAATCAATGTCCTACAAGCAATACGTCTAATAATTCTGATACCAAACTACACAACCTGGAAACACATTTTGTTGAGAAGATTGCAAATCTACAAAGAAATCATCCCATCTGAAACAGACAGGCAGTGAAAAAAGTTGCAATTCATTCCGTTGAAGTCCAAAATCTACAGTGGTCCCCCAAGACCCAAAAACAACACATTTCGCCCCTCTGGCCAAAAAATACCTGCAAATATACAGGCTCAAGGAACATCATTTCTGCTTTAGCAACTCCCTAAACATGCATATATCACTAAGAAACTGGTGCTCAAGCTTGTAGATTTTTTGCTACTGTTAAATGTTTGTACCCCCCACCCTCTGTAAAATGACTTGTTTTTACCATGCATGCTGTTTAAAAGCAATGTTTACTCCACAGTTAATTTCAAGTTCCTGCCGTCAATGTCCTACAAGCATTACGTCTAATAATTCTGATACCAAACTACACAACCTGGAAACACATTTTGTTGAGAACATATATGACATAAGATTGCAAATCTGCAAAGAAATCAACCCAACTGCAACAGGCAGGCAGTCAAAAAAGTTGCAATTCATTCCCCTGAAGTCCATAATCTACAGTGCCCCCCCCCCCCCCGAGATCCAAAACAACACATTTCGTCCCTCTGGCAACAAATCCCTGCAAATATACAGGCTAAAGGAACACCGTCTCTGCTTTAGCAACTCCCTATACACATGCAAAATATCACGAAGAAACTGGTGCTCAACCTTGTAGATTTTTTGCTACTGCTAAAAGTTTGTACACCCCGCCCCCTGTAAAATGACTTGTTTTTACCGTGCATGCTGTTTAAAAGCAATGTTTACAAATTATGGCAGCCTTGACATCTATAATCAACAGCATGTGATTTCTTTTGCCCCCCCCCCCATTTTTGAGGCCTCAAACAGTGAAAAAATGTCCTATTTAGGCTCCAACACTGTTTATCATTTGAAAATGTTGTTAAAAAATGTGACCACTTTTCGGCGCCCCCCCCATCAAAATAGTACATCAGGGGGTTACCAGAAGGGGGATATACCCCCCCTTCTGTTATGGGGGGGGGTGGTGGAAATGGGGTTTGAAGCTTATTGCCAAGACAATTTTGAACATATGACAGGCTAAAAATGGCCTCAGGGCTTTAGAATATTACAAATTACTATAAACATAGATAAAAAGAATAAATAAATATTTAGGTAAAGAACTTTGATTTACTCACAGATGGATCAAATTTGTAGGAACATGATTTAACCTTAAGCAAATGAAAACAACAAGTAGTCAAATTAATAAAAACCCAAATTCTGCTCCATAAAAAACAATCTAAATTTTGCAAATTTACAAAGGAAATCATGAATATCACCTTATCATTTGTATCAAAGTGAAAACATCTTTATTGAGTCCAAAAAAAACACACAAAAAAACAAGACCACAAAAAACCATTTATATTTATGCTTGGAAAAAGTAGATATTTGTTTTTTTTCCCGAGGATTTTTAAATTTTGAGGTCATAGAAGACAAAAGGACGTTCCATCATTTATCATCCCTTGTCTTCTTGTCCGCCTCCTTTAAGCCTATCCAGGTATTGAGCTGTTTGGAGCGTAGCTTCGACCATATCACATGATCGTGAAGACCGAGAATCTGTGCCGCTGCCAGAGCAGCTGCATCAGGGGAAGTAACTGTTGTACAACCCAAACCTGAAAAAAAAAAACCCAAAAATATTTGTAAGTCACTGAAAGTAATTTAAATATTTGCTTTTATAAATATATTTTTAAGAGATTCATCAAAAAGTTTTTTCTCTAAACTGCTTTTTTTCCCCCAATACTGTTTCATATTCAGTAAGTCGCAGGAAAAATACATGTAGATAACAGGATAAACAGTTTGAGGTATAATCTTCAAATAACTGCCATTTTTAAGGAAGGAATTATGAATCTATATCTTTCAAAGTATTAACAATATAAAACAGAATAAACATTGACCATGAATACATGGAACAGGCACATACCTGAAGGCAATCTAAGAGATGACCAGATATCCTCTGCTCCCCAGTCAGCCGTGATCGGGGGACAGTTAATGACTGGCCATGTAGCGTTACCAGACAGTACTGGACCAAGTCCGTTACTTCTTCCAGCTACAGCAATAAACACTGTTGGTATACCCTCACCTGCAAAGTAAATGTTCAAACATACTTCTTATTTTTATAACAATGGATGCAATTATTAATTTTATCATTCAATATATACATGCAGTACCACTAATATTTCAGTTATTAAACATATTTATAAATAAAACTTATATTCTCAGTGTCTGTTGATGGAGGAGAATGCATTATATCAGGAAAAATTGAATTACAATTAGTAGTAGTGAGCCTCAGCAGGTCAACAAAATACATCCTCCTGGCAAAATAATTCACAGAAAATATCCAATTAAATTTCTATATCTTTTTAGTTGCTATGGTATCTTACCTATTTAAGTGAATAAAATATACCTTCATATTGTGCCAAAATGTTGAGAGTTTCTTGACTTGCTTTGTGTGCAGACGACACTCTAAGTTCACAGGGTACACCGAATGTCTTACATGCAGATCGGATCTTCTCACAGTGAGCCATGTCTGTCGGTGAACCCATGAACACAACTGCTCGGGCATGGGGCTTTGGTGATAGTTGCTAAGATAAATGAATAACATGTAACACTTCCTTATTTACCAAAATCTGCATACCCTACTTTGAATTTGGAGCTGTGCAGGTAAGTCTGAGGATTTTAATTAATATTCTCTTAAAGAAAACAGTATCAAGTCAAGGCTAAACTGCACAATTACTAAAATCTAAATGGCAATCATATAAGCCCAAACATCTTTCATGAACTAGTGGTATATCTGAATATTGCTCTAATTTTAGCCTGGTTTCCTGCCCTTGGAATAAGTAGAAGAATAGCTGCACTGTTTATTGGTAGTGAGAAATACATTTATATTCCTCCTCTTGGAGTGAAATCTTAAGGTGAGTTAGCATGTGGTATCTCAATTTCAAATTTTCAATCTAAATCAAAAACCACTGATATAATGTATCAACTAGAGCCGTGCTCATACAAGTTAACAAATGATCAGACTTCAACGAGACGATATTCATACAAAAAAACTTACAGACACCCTGTCAGCAACCCATTCAAAGTTACGTTTAACTGTATCCAAAGCTTCAGCAGTGACCACCTTTAACTCTCTATAAACTTGTTTATCTTTCATCAGACGGCGATCTCCAGCGGGCCACAGACGCCATGAATCACTGTCAATGACGTCGGCCAACAATATCTCACCTAGTTAATAAACATCATGTAAAAACTCTCAACATTGTAGGGTTATTCTTCTTTAATATCCTCTATTTCTGTATTTCAGAGTTATCTAACGCTGAAATACATAAATAGAGGATATTGAATGATTGTAGGTTCAATACAGAATTTATTGAATGAGTTGACACAAAGTTGAAGGTGAAATTACAATTACATTGCAATATACTCCGTTTCAAAAATTACATATTTTGTCATGTAAGTTGAAAACTCTAACCAGCACTTAATTGTTAGTTTGGCTAGTGACTGTGAAATTACAAGAGCACCAAACTCCTGTTGCACAGTGACCTCATCCATTTTCATTTTCTTTAAATTTTAATGAAAATAAATTTAGAAACTTGTAGCTCATTAAATTCTTAAAATTTGCCAGCACTCCCAAATTATGATGTTCCAAAACAATGAGACATGCCTGAAAGAGTGTTTTACTATGATGTTAGTATCTAACACTGACATACAGAAAGGAACATATCAGTTTCTCTGCACAAAATAAATTGTATTAAGATTTGAGTTAAAATAATAAGATTATAACATTTACCAGTTTCAGGGCTGACTCCAAACTCTATTTTCATATCAATCAGGGAACAATCCAGGGAGGCCCAAGCTTTCTCTAAGACTTCAAACACAGTGACCGTTGTCCTTGACATAATATCTATCTCACACTGACCAATGAGACGTGTTCCAGCGGTCAGTTTAGCTTCAATACACTGCTCGTATGACCATTGAGGGTCATGATTCTCATCATCCTGGACAGTATATACAAATTAAAACATGTTTTGACAATAATAATAGCTGCTAGGCAAGGGTTATAATTTCCAAACTACCATTTATGTATGGTGAAATAACCTGCCAGAAATATTTATAGCAAAATTTTAATACAGCAAGCATCTTTTTATTAGAGAAAAAGTGAGATTTCTTTATAAATTGACAGCAGCCATGTATATATATCTATATAAACATTACCATTATCCAATGAAAAGCGATGTTACAAACATCATGCAGTATTATAACATATTGAATACTAATACACTGCTTATCTCTGCAGTCTTCTAATTATAGTCTAAAATAAAGGTAATGTCAGAAAACTGATGACTTTAATACATACTTTAAAGAAAGTCTCCTGTTTTGGAGGAGAGAACCTATACCCTTCCTTCACACCAGGATTTCTCTTTAAGAATGATCCGGTGGCTACTCTTCTAGTGACCCACTCTATAGGTATCATATCACACTGATGTGTCACCATAGTTGTCTTCCCCTGACGCTTAATGAAATGGGTTTTGATACCTGCAAGAATTAGAAGGCTTATTAGTAAGGTAAATAGTTGGAAATCACTTCCCTAGCCTAATTCTAAACAGATTTAATACCTTAATTTGTTAACTCAAAACATAGTCATTAAAAATTAATCAAATAATCCTCTTGAACTTTTAAAGTGATACAGTAACCAGAAGTTAAACAGGAATATTGAAATGCAGCTTACAGGGTCACCTACAGTTTTCCTCAGCTCTTAGTATCTACAAAATCCTATTCAGTTGGAATTTTTAATAGGTTCAGAGAACAATGTTAACTGATGTCACCATCAGTCTATAATTGTCACAGACCGGTAGAATAACCTACTTCAGCTCTACTGACAGAGCTAACACACTGCTTACTAGTTTTCACAATTAAAATCTGTTCAATAGAGAGACATATTTTATAGAAGAAACTCTTAACTTCATGTTTAAATGCCATTTCTCAAAACAAACAAACAAACCATTTTTCTGGAATAAAACGCATTTTGGCAAGTCTGTTCTTTAACTAACTTTCTGTCCATTGTCTGTTATATGTATTGAACAGATCAATGTTGAAGCCATTTATATATAAAATATACGATCAAAAACATAGAAGTTACCAGCACTGTTTAATAATTCAAAGATTGCACATGTAGTAGCAGTGGATATTTCTGCTTTTCCTATCATTTCATGTGCACGTTCCCCATCTCCTGCAGTGATACGGTCCTTGGATTGTAACAACACATGATGTGGAGTGCCAGGTATTTCATAAACTACCTTGGTTTTTCCCTCAATGACCTTGTCACCAACCTTTACTCCTGAAATTGACATCAAAGTTCAATCAGAACAAAAATTAGCCCTAATAATTAGATGTGAAAAGTCATTTTGTAGTTTTATATAAAAAACTTTAAAAAGTTATCATTGTGACATTTTATATTATCAATAGTCAGTCAACATACATGTATGTATTTTTAACTAACCCTATCGGCATCCAGATAACTGGTGAATATCGCACTGCCATTGCTGCCTAGTTGGATTACATGGAAGTTGTAACATTTAAATAGACAGAACTTAAGTTAGTTCTAGCATTATCATTCTATCTTTCCATACATTTTTACAGTCAAGCCAGTATCTGCTCAGCAGCCAATGTATTAGAAAATTGTGCTTTTAAATAATAGAAATGAAGTTAAATGTAAGCACAATCATTAAATTCATTATGCTTTTAAATAATAGAAATGAAGTTAAATGTAAGCACAATCATTAAATTCATTATTTCACTGATAAATTTCCCATGCAATAATATTGTCAAGCAATTTCTTCTGGCAAGTGAGGGTCGCGAAAACTGGTGACGTCCTAAGGGGGTAATACTTTTAAACATAATTTAAAGAAAACAATAAAATGGCAACTAAATTTATAATACCAAAATGATAATACAACCTTCAATTTCCATTTTCCGTGATAGCACAACTCCGTTCTTTTATTATTTACTGGAAAATTCCACCGCTTTCTAAAGGTTTCTGTCACTTATGACCAACACGTGTGGACCCCGTGAACTGGGCGCACACTTGTCAAACTCCTGACGGGAATAAAACAAATTCATGAAATCAACGTTAAACGGGTAATATTTTATTTCTAAATATTTTTTATCATCCTTTATTAATTATTGCAATTCAATTTCAAATAAATACCTCCTAAAATTGTTAAAATCAGCGTCACCGCAAAGAACTATTTCTTTGCTTTACAATATACGCGGAAGGGTATTTGTCTACAGTTGATGCTCAAAAGTTGACTGAGTTGGTTTTCAAGAAATAATTATTTCATTAGCATTTCTCAGCGTCTTTTAAATAGATTTGAAAGACCCTGATTTTTCAAATCCGATTTTAAGTTCTAGAGCAGATCTTTTTCTATTTGAAAGAAGAAGTTTGATAAATTCAAAAACTTATATTGGACATCCAAGTGGGTTGGTTTTAACAGAGGTAATATCTAAATTAAATTAAAAGGTAAGACAGTTTTTTCCCGACCCGACGCATGAAAGTAGAGCTATCAAGTATACAAGAATATATTAAAGTATCTTGTGTACAAGTCTGCATCTAGTATAAGTTTTAAATAGCACTGTTTATTCTAAAATAAATTAACTTGCTGTAAAACGATCATCCATGAAAATAGTATAATTTCATGTCACGTGCTAATGTGATGCAGCTATATTTTCCCGCGTTCGAACTTCTGCTGCCGTACGAAAATATCCGAATGATCCGAATTGTCGTTCAGGGTCAAGGTAAATTGGAAAAATAGTTCCAGTTGTAAACAAAGTGCACGCCGCCAGGAATAAAGTGGTAACTTTTAAAATAAATATTTGTTAACTGAATTGGTCTGATCGTGTAAATTAATATGTATGGTGTGTGTAATATTATGTGTTTTATATGTCTTACTCTTGTTTTGAAAAATCGAGTCCGAGTGGTCAAGGCGGTAAAATTGCATCATGGTTATACAGGGTGTGCCATAGTTTTAGTGCACAGTAATAATTAACCATTTTTTCAGAACTAAATATTTTATGTTCATTGCATTATTTAACTATAGTTTTCCCTCTTAATTCGACTATTTGAAGAGTAGGGTCTCCTTAGTGAATTCTTGGCTCACTACATTTATATTTGGAGAGTATGGTCCCCTTAGTGAATTCTTAGCTCACCACATATATTTTTGAAGAGTAGGGCCCCCTTAGTGTCTGTGTCACACTTTGGTTAGGATTTTGCATGCAACATGGTATTTCAAAGTCTACTGAAGGGAATGAGTTGTAACTTCACCCTCCTATTAAAGAGCATAATAGGAGGTCAGCACACTAACAAAGTTTGCACTCTTACCCTATGCTACGACCGGATGTAAACAATACGTTCGCACAGGGCATGCGCGGTGGTTAAATCCCACCCATTTTATTCGATTAAATTCTAGAACAACCACTACTTTCGGTTTCAATTTTGCTGACAAAGAACAGTTTGAGTCAACGTAAGTGTTAATTTTAATTGCAATGTCCAAAACTTTGCACTACACGGCATAATTTCCATTACATATCCGGTATTATCATCGTCATGGTAGTTTTTATTCCAGTCGGTCAAAATGACGGTACACATGTGCATTTACATTTAGTGCTCGCCAATTGTTTTAAGCCAATCACCGACGAGGATTTTTCAAATTTTCAGGTTACAAATCTTAATAGAACAGATTTTATATAAACTGGACGTTTTATATTATAAAACGCAAGTGGGCGGAGCACTAAGCCGGTTAGAGTGCATATTGGATGTTCTTCGTAAATAAGAAAGCTACAGTCGCTTCGCAAGCTCCGCTCCTTTTTAGCTTTCTTATTTACGAAGAACACCCAATATGCACTCTAACCTATACGTAAACAAACAGATTTAACTTCTCAGACAATTTAAATAAGGAATGGACACACGGTAAACTCTGTTACAACATAAAGTATATTCATAAACCTGTTTGAGAAAAATTGTCTCCGTGTTCAAATAAATTTCAAAAACGGGAAAAAAATCAGTCTTTTACCGATACCTTGCAACAGAACTTTATTATTCTGATGAATTAAATTGACTTTATAACGCTCGTATACAATTATTTATTGATCGATTTTCATTATATTTATTTTGTAATACCTATCATTCAATATGCAATCAAACAAAACCAAGTTTTCCTACATTCAATGAAACTGTTAGTTAGGACGAGCTTTCAAAACGAACAGGTAGCAATTTCCAACACGCTTACCGAAACTCCAACATGGCGGCTCATTTGCATAATTTATTCATAAACGCAGGAGCATAGAACTTTGTTAGTGCAGCATAAGGCCCATAACACTAACATGGAAGTTGACAGAATAATGGCCCATTTTGAACATTGATAATTCTACATATACTTACTATTTAGTTCAACCACTGAGAATAGTCAAGTACGCTGTCTTAGCAACATTCACTGTTGGTGAGCTATATTTAGTTAGATCTATGACGTATTCATTAAGAATGCGAGGCACTGAAAATAAGCAAACACAATTTAGGTTGGTATCAGGTACGGCAGCATTTATTTGTTGATGTCATGATTGTTAGAATCAAATAATATTATATATCCCCATCTGTGATTTTATTGCTTGATAAAATCACTGTTTGTTGTTCAGATGTGTAGCAGTATATCACCTTATGATATAATTCATTGTATCCGAATATTAATTTAGTATTAAAATCACTGTTAGGATAAATTTTTTTCTTAAGTAACATTTAATTTATAAACAAGCATGTTACCTCTGAATCTGCTGAATTTGTGTCATGCATTTATCCAGCTTTGAATTTGAATAATTCATTGAAAATTCAAGGGATTTCATTATCAGAATCCAAACATGTAGGCCACTATATGAGTATTGAACCTTGTCAGACTTGGCTGAAGTTCAGGCCTGGCTCTATACTAGTGGCAAAGGTTAGATACGTTTGGTTCCCTGGAGCAGGCTATAAGGGTTAAATTTACCTGTTAAGTAATTTATGTCTTGTTTAAAGTTGTTATAAGTATGAAGAAATTTATGAAGTAAATGTTATCTGAAATTATCTGCCAATAATATGCAGGATTTTGTAATTTACTTGTACTCTTCAAAAGTATTTGAAAATGTTGGCAATAGAGTATCATTTAAAGCACAGCTGTGAAATGAAATGTAAAAAAAAAAGAGAATAAAAAAAGGTTGAAAATGAAAAATATCTCCTGTATTGGTATCATAAGTGAAGGAAATGTTAGTTCACCAGTGCATTTACAAAAGAGAGTGCATGCACCCACGCTAGATATTGTAACCACATTTTCACACCTCATGCATTTTATGATGCTTTTAATGTTGCATGCTTTGTAAGTTTTACTTTACAGCTGGTTTAACCGTTTGGCTTATATACAGTGTCTTTATATTAAAGAGGCAGTCTAGTATTGTAGAAAAAAATATAATGGTATGAATGAAATATTGCTGATTAAGAACATTATATTTTTAGATTAGGTTTGAAAATGGTTATATTTTTAAATTACATGTAGGTTTGAAAATGATGAAATAACATTATTGTTATGTCATTGTATGTATAGAAATGTAACATAGAATGGATGTTAAAGGAGCTCCACTGAGGTTCAAAAGCATAGATTTTTAAAAATCTTAATACATAGATCATTATTCATATAATAATTTAGCCGCGTCACGACAAAACCAACATAATGGCTTTGCGACCAGCATGGATCCAGACCAGCCTGCGCATCCGCGCAGTCTGATCAGGATCCATGCTGTTCGCTCTTGTAATAGGGTTTGTAAACGAACAGCATGGATCCTGATCAGACTGCGCGGATGCGCAGGCTGGTCTGGATCCATGCTGGTCGCAAACCCATTATGTTGGTTTTGTCATGACGTGGCTCAAATAAGATAACCTGAAGAAGGGTATATGGTACCAGAAACCTGTAGTTTAAATAAATATAGAAATCGATGTCATGTTTTGATGTGTTGTTCTCCCTTCCCTAAATCTTTTAACTTATTGTTCATATGATATTAAAGAATAAAATAATAGTTCAAGTGTGGAACTGTAAATAGAAAAATGTGAAAAACATGATTAAAGAAATATTGTCAGAATTAAAGTGAAAATCAATACTTATTCAAATGCATATCCTAGCCTGATTTCAGTTAAAAACGTTTTTAGTTTAGGTCATGTTGAACACTGGAGAAACAGAGTGAGCAACTGATACAATGATACAACTGATCTTAAATTTTACGCATATTTAAAGTTATTGGAATATACCTACATGAAATGGTACAAAAATCTTTAAAAAAATATTTCCAGTCTGGTCATGTCAAAAAATGTGAGTAAAGTCCCTTTAAAGGTGAAAGTTTGGTAGAATCAAGGTAATATACAGAATATAATTGATAATACATATCTTTTGAAGTAATAAACATTTAAAAAAATTATTTCATAAATTCCTGTTAAAGTTATTTCTGCATAATTATAACAGAAAAAAATGTAAAAATTTGAACATGACTGTTTAATTAGTAAAAAAAACATTACACTAGTGACTTCTAGTCAGTATGTAAGTCACTAACATAATCCCTGGTTAAGACACTGAGATAATGTTTAATGTTCATTCATTCACATTGTTTTTGGCAGTTTGTTTCAAACACATATACAATATATATTACTCAATTAACACATCAGCAGTTTGTAACATGTCTGGTGTGACATCTGTTTACATAACCTTTGTGATTATTCCTGACAAACTTCTTACACTTAGTGACATATTTGAATAGTTATCATATGTGATATAGATATAATATAAAATTGATATTAACTTTTTTATTTTCCACTTCAGCCATCTGTGAGATCACCACCTACTGTGTTTTCTGTTCTGTTCTGTGTTTTTTTGGATTTGGAAGTAAGTTTTTTACTATTATTTTATATAGAATTTAAATAAGTTAGCCTAGTGCTCTGTTAACTTATTATTTTTCATTGCATGAGAATGCTTTTACAATATACTATGTACAATATATAGTCACATGTTATCTTTTTGATAAAGATTACATTGACTTTAGTTTAAATTTTGCTGTACTGTTTTAAGAGTTTTTTTAAACAAAATTAAATAAACTAGATAAAATGTAGAAAGACACATGATAAAATACAACTATTAAAAGAATGGACAAATGGTCCAAAGTGACAACTTTTAGAATGTAGTAGGATGTGATTATCAGTACATTGTATTGTGGTGGTGGTGTTGGTAGCTTTCACTCCGGATCACAGCAGTAAGCCACAATGAATTTACCAGACCACAGTTCAGCCATCGCATAATTCCTGGGCAGGCAGTCAAGCAGTTAACTAGTACTTACAGACTCCACTTTCTGTACATGTCAGAGTAGAGGTACAGTGCGATTGACAGTGACCTGCACAGTCTGGTAATCAAACGGTATTGCATAATTTCACAGTCCAACGCTGTACCTATTGAGCTTACTGGACGGCTATCAGTGTTTCTTGTATTGTGATGTATTATATTTTTTAATTTGTTTCTTGTAAATTTAGAATGAAACTTTAATCATGTAACTTAATTTAATATAGATAATTATCTTTAAAAGTTTTTTATTCTATTTCCAGCATACAAAGCAAGGATGGCAGAAAGTAAAGATGCGAGTGATAATTCAGGAATGCGAGAAGCATGTGGTGTGTTTGGATGTGTTGCGGCGGGTGATTGGCCAACACAACTTGATGTAGCACATATCATATGTCTGGGGCTTGTCGGACTTCAACACAGGTAAGTTGGAAGGTTAGAAACACTTATGGAAAACGGGTCTGGCATAATGTGCTACAAACATATTTTTTTTTCTAAGTTTTTTTTATATTGTAAAAACCTTGCTCATCTTACCTTGCACAGCTATAATCTGTTCTGCTACATACAATTGTTCAATTGTACATTTGCATAGAGAACCATTTTAGATGTTTATTTGTAATGAAAATGGAATCTTACAATTTATGTAGTCTTCGGAGCATTTCAATTAAGAAAGATGAATATGGAAATTTGAATCTACTATGACCTTTTAATGAACAAAAAGATGCTATACTGCAGACCACTTAAATATTTCCTGATGCAATTGTCAGAGGTTGTATCAATTGTTAGCTTGCTTCAAGCTTGTGACCATTGCAAACCAAAATTATGCAGCAAACCTGCTTTTCAATTGGTATATATTTTGAAAGTTTCTCTTAAAATGATTTATGGTTTTGTCCAGATTGATAGATGGGCAAGTCTATTTATGGTATTTAAATGGTAAGGATTATTAGTAACTCAGGTAGGTTTGTGCTCAAATGTAACAGAAGCTTTTGAGTAATTGAATGTATCCTGTATATATTTCCATTCAACAGAGGTCAGGAAAGTGGTGGCATTGTTACAAGCACTGGATCAAAGGATTCAAGATTTACACAGAAGAAAGGCTCGGGGTATATAAGCTCAATATTTCATGAAGAAGACTTGATGAAACTGAAAGGAAATATCGGTATAGGTTAGTGAATTATCTTTATATACATATTTGTGACTTTTTCTTTACATCATTTATTACATTCCTTAAAACTTGATTGTCTTGGTAATGAGGTGACAAGAACCTCAAATTATGGACATGCTGAATGTCTTAACTAAAAATCAAATTTGGTTTATAAATACTGTATTTATAATTTATATTCCATTGAGACAATTTGTTTAATATATGACAGAGTCTAAATTTATGTCAGAATCAAGTTTTTTGCCTTGACTTAATAACAACACCATTTATAGAATTTCTTAGCTTCAGGAGCTTGAAAAAGAAATCTGAAAGCTTGATTGATAGAAAGTTGTTTCTATGTTGATAGTTTTAAAGTGCAGATATGTGTTCAACTACAATGTAGAAAAAACTTAACCTTGTATACAGGAACCTACCTACCTCTGCATATGAACAATATCTAGACAAAGGTACATCCTTTTGCCTCTGCAAGTGCACAATTTGGAATGTGAATCATTTATGTTACTGTTTTTATTGGTATATTTCCAGGTCATACGCGGTACTCAACATTTGGAGGGTCCGATACATCTAATATACAGCCTTTTGTCGTGGAAACATTACATGGATTAATGGCAGTGGCTCACAATGGAGAGCTTGTCAACTCAACACAACTTAAACAAAAGGTAGGTAATAGAAGAATTAAGGTTGGGAACTTCTTGATGTACCAGTACTTTGTTTGGGAGTTTTCTTTTTGTGACGGAGGGCAACTTTGTCAGAGTGGTTAAGGTTGCTGCTTCTCACTGCTCTAGGTTCTAATCCCATCAGAGACTTCAAATGTTTTTACAGGAGATATGCTTCAAGCTATCCAATAAGCTAACAGAAAATTTTTGGCTCCTCTTAGGAGGGGAGCTGTCTCAATATTATTGCATAAAATGCACTTTTATCTGCCTGTTTCTTGTACAGAACTTAGCTCTCTTCTGTGTACAAAATTATGTTGTTTAGGAATTGAGGTTAATTGATAAATACAATTTTACACTTGCACTGTAAGTATTTGTTTTAAAAAAATCGTGTTACGTAGTCATCGAGATAAATTGAAAACACATTTGTTAACATATGGTTTAACTATGTTATATTTCTAGTTACTCAGACATGGTGTTGGACTATCTACAGGAAGTGACAGTGAGTTAATTACACAGTTGTTAACACATATGCCAGATTGTGGTGAACCAGATGGTCCAAACTGGATTGGAAGGTAAATAACATGTTGTGAATAAGAATAAAGGGCATTGTGCTTATTGCTGCAAACAGACACTGCAAGTGAACAACCAAATGATTGTTAAAGAAGGGGCATAAATCCAATGCACTTATAATAGCATTCTCTTGGTTAACAATTGATATCATTTTGACTGAATATTAGATTTGTTATTGTACATTGCAATGCTTATACTGTAACCCAATTTATATTCGCGAATACAAATTTTCGCGTTTTGCCGAGGTCGGACATATTCGCGAAAATTAATTTCCGCGGTTTCTTGATTTCCGAAAAAAAAAATTCGCGGATTGGAAAGTCCGATGGGGCCGTAAAATCCATTAGCCGACTATTAATCTTCAATAATTGAGGTCATTATTTGTGTCTTAAATGGGATTAACAATACGCTAGTCTAATATTGTATTGGTAAGTGAATTGTGATCACAATTCAGCAAAACATTTTCTCTATATATGTAAATGTACGCATCGTTCGTCTTCATTTCTAAACATGTCGTTAAAAGGGTGGCTGATAAAAAATAAACCCTCAGAATGCAGGGATGTTTCGGCATCGTTTTTCCCTGATCATGATCTGGAAAGCACACCAGAAAAGAAACGTGATTGACAATAGGTCTACTAGTATTTCATTAACTGTATTAAAATGTGGATGTTTATTTTGATTGCTATATTGACTTACAGTTCTTTTGATATTTATAAAATAGTAGTAGTTTACTTAGTTTGTGTTTTTATTGCTTTATGGCAATATTTATAACAATTCATTACTTCCTAAACAGGTGCACATAAATTTCGAATATATCCGGTCAAGTAGCTTTGCATGAACAACGTCTAAAATAAAAATTTCTCTCCAATTTATTCGCGAAATCGTGCGGACTTATTCGCGCAAACAAATATTCGCGCATCGTGGCCATCCGCGAATAAAACGAATATTAATTGGTCGCGAATATTCGTTGGGTTACAGTAACTCATTATTAGTGATCTCATGTTATCTTTGAACTGAAAGTTTTATTCGTTTTATTTTGTCAGAATATTTAAAATTTTACTTATTTTGATTGGTCTGTTATTATTTCTTATGTTTATTTTCAGAATAAAAGCAATGATGAAGCAGACGCCAGCCTCATATTCCTTGGTAATAATGCACAATGATAAGATATATGCACTGAGGGATCCCTTCGGTAATCGTCCTCTCAGTATTGGTAAACTTCTGACGGCAGCCAGCTTTTCTGGAGGTATGTTATGTCTGAGTTACGTCTCTTAGTTGTTACATGCCATGAAAGAGTGTTGTCCCTTTGTGATTGTATGTTATGACAGAGTTACGTCTCTTTAAGTGTTGTAATGTGCCATGAAAGTCTTTAAGAGTGTTGTCCCTTTGTGACTGTATGTTAAGAGTTATGTCTCTTAGTTGTATTGTGACATGATAGAGTGTTGTCCCTTTGTAACTGTATGTCATGTCAGAGTTATGTCTCTTAGTTGTAATGTGTCATGAAAGAGTGTTGTCCCTTTGTGAATGAATGTTATGACAGAGTTATGTGTCTTAGTTGTAATGTGCCATGAAAAAGTGGTCTCCCTTTGTGATTTATTTTGGAAGAACTATTAAATAGCCATATAAAAGATAGTGAAATATTCTTTATTTCATAGAAACTCAAGTTTTTCAGACGTCTTATCGATAGGTGTAAATACATTTAGACTTTTAAGTTGTAGTTACAGCTCTAACAAGGCAGGCTGTTTTGAAGATTATGATTATCATAATTATATTTATACTTCATGGTTTATGTTATAAAGGTCAGCAGACTAGGTTGGAAGAAGAAGGATGTGATGGCTGGGTGGTATCATCAGAGTCATGTTCTTTTGGAGCCATGGGCGCGAGGCTCTACAGAGAAGTTTTACCAGGTATAGCTTGCTGTTTCTGATTTCTTCCATTAATGATGCATGCTTCATTTAGACTACTAACCCTTTACTGCTGGAGGAAGCTGAATCTACCCATGCAACCAGTGTAGCCCAAGATCAGCTGGCACATAAGTATTGTCTGATTATTGTCTTCACTATTCAGTCAGTACATATTTTGAGGATGGGCAATTCCATTTAAGATATTTAACAGATTAAGCTAATAAACAGATTCAGTCAATATGACACAGAGTAATGAACCTGAAATTTTATCATTTTGATTAAAAAAATATTGTTACATAGTAATGAAAATAGATATCAGCCTTGTTCAGTCATTGATACACAATGAAATATTGTTTGCACTTTTTGTTTTGTAATTTCAGGAGAGATAGTTGAGCTGAGCAAAGAAGGAGTCAAATCTCATTGTATTGTAGGTAGACCCGAGGCAAAGTTGCCGGCATTTTGTATCTTTGAGTATGTCTACTTCGCCCGAGCAGACTCCGTTCTTGAAGGTTTGTTTTACTTTTTATATTTTCACTATTATAATTTTGTATTTATCACTATTTTATAATTATAATCCACATTAATGGAACAGAACTATAGTCTAAGGATTGCTGACTGCATAGGTTCAAACCCCATCAAGGGAAAGGCAAGCTGCTGTTTCCTTGAGCAAGAAAAATTACAATCATTGCAAACTGACTGGTTGGTTTCAGGAACAGAAATGAGAGAGTGTTTTAATAAGCTTATAGCTTCCAACACAATCAAACTAAAATAAATTCATATAAACTAATGGAACAGAAAATATTTGTCCTAGAGTTTGTTTTTTAAGTCAATTTTATCCCAACATGTCAGTTAAAAAAAAATGTTCCCAAAATTTCAGGTACATAAAATATACAGAAAAATGCCAAATTTGACTAGAGAGTTTGTACTAAATCTGTAAAATATCAAGACAGAGTTTTGCTTGAATATATATCATGTTTGGCAGTTGTGTTCAGCTGCTGACCAGTTTTTGAACATTTTGTATCTTTCATTATGCTGGGTTTAAAAGTAAGTTAAGTTTGTGTTTTCTGTTGAGGTTGAACTTTCAAACCTGTTTTGAGGGAGACATGTGTCCATGAATTCTTTAATAGTATTTAATTGGAATAATTTTGTACATACAGGTCAAATGGTATACGAGGTGAGGAAGAGGTGTGGCCGGCAGCTTGCCCTCGAGGCACCCGCAGACGCTGACCTTGTCAGTACGGTGCCGGAGTCCGCAACACCGGCAGCCATTGCTTATGCTGAAACTGTAAGTTGTTGTTACCATATTTTTAACAAAATTTGTACTAGTCAGTTTTGTATTGATTTATTGGCCGGGTTGCACTGGTGCAAACCCGGGTTATAGTATGGTGAATGTTGGGCGGCGTCCGGGCGGCCGGTCGGGGAAAAAAACTTTCGTAACAGTTTTCTCAGCAACTACTTATCACAGCCTCTTGATATTTGGCAAACAGCATTGACACATGGTCCCATACCGTGGGATTTGATTTCAGGTCTGTTGCTCATCCACTTTATCCACTTAGTTAAATTAGTTAGATTTTTTGACATTAATGGTCAATGCTAGGAAATTTTCTTAACAGTTTTCTCAGCAACTACTTATCACAGCCTCTTGATATTTGGCATACAGCATTGACACATGGTCCCATACAGTGGGATTGGAATTCAGGTCTGTCTCTCATCCACTTCCTGTTTATCCACTTAGTTAAATTAGTAAGATTTTTAAACATTATTGGTCAATGGTAGGAAATTTTCGTAACAGTTTTCTCAGCAACTACTTATCACAGCCTCTTGATATTTGGCATACAGCATTGACACATGGTCCCATACTGTGGGATTTGATTTCAGGTCTGTCGCTCATCCACTTTCTGTTTATCCACTTAGTTAAATTAGTTAGATTTTTTGACATTAATGGTCAATGGTAGGAAATTTCGTAACAGTTTTCTCAGCAACTACTTATCACAGTCTCTTGATATTTGGCATACAGCATTAACACATGGTCCCATACTGTGGGATTTGATTTCAGGTCTGTCGCTCATCCATTTCCTGTTTATCCACTTAGTTAAATTAGTTAGATTTTTAAACATTATTGGTCAATGGTAGGAAATTTTTGTAACAGTTTTCTCAGCAACTACTAATCACAGCCTCTTGATATTTGGCATACAGCATTGACACATGGTCCCATACTGTGTAATTCGATTTCAAGTCTGCAGCTCATCCACTTCCTGTTCACATTAATGGTCAATGGTAGGAAATTTTCGTAACAGTTTTCTCAGAAACTACTTATCACAGCGTCTTGATATTTGGCATACAGCATTGACACATGGTCCCATACTGTGGGATTTGATTTTAGGTGTGTAGCTAATCCACTTCCTGTTAACCTACTGAATTAAATTTTTGACATTAATGGGTCAATGGAATTTTTTTTTCGTAACATTACAGCCTCATGATATTTAGTGTACAAATGCAACCCGGCCTTTTCTGTCTTTGACCCATTTTTTTAAGTGTTAACATGCTCAGTTTGTGTAATGATTTTTCTAGTTTTTACAGAACTATTAATTTTGGGACTTTAAATATCAGAATGGCTTGTTTGGGCTATATCCAGGCAGAATTGATAATCCATTAACTTTGCTAGCAGCCAAATATTTTGTTGTGTTGAAAGCCCACAGATTTGTTGTGAAATACTTGTAGTTCCTATAAGTCATTCACCTTTTTAGTTCAGTGTTTATTTACTAATCCCAGATAATTACCATTTGACTTTGTTTTAAGAAGACTTTGAAAATAATAAAAAAAATGTATTTTCATTTAATTATGTTAGTTTCATAAAAAAATTTTTTTGGCTAGATAGTGAAGTAACATTGTTCTATGACATGTAACAGTATAATATTTTTCTAATAAAATATTTCTAATTGTTTCAGCTTGGAATTCCATACGGGGAAGTTTTGTGTAAAAATCGTTATGTAGGGCGGACCTTCATACAGCCGAGTATGAGATTACGTAAATTGGGCGTTGCAAAAAAGTTTGGTTTGTTGACGGGTAATTTTCAGAACAAGAGGGTGGTGATTATAGATGATTCTATAGTGCGAGGAAACACCATGAAACCTATTATACAGATGTTGAAATCTGCCGGGGCAAAAGAGGTTTGTACAATTTTATTTCAATGTGTTTCGTATCTAGTTGAGCATTTATGTTTCTGTAAATATCAACTTATAAACCCAAAAAGCTGCTTTAGTCTTCTTTTGTCAGTTTTAATAATAAATAATTTTATTACATTTTGTCATGTACCAGGAATTTTTCCAATGCAAGTCTTTATTTGAAAAAATAATATGGAGGCTGGCATGCATCCTGATCAGGGTCCATAATTCTTAATGTATAATACCAGTTTCTTATGCAGTGTTTTTACTTTTATTGTACTTTAACAGAAGGCCTTTGTGACCTTGAGATAAGGTCATTCCATTTTGTGGTCAAACTCTTGCTGACTTATTAACATTTATAACAGTAAACTTGACCTCTGGTCTTGGTAGATCAATATTTATGTTTTTATGTTTCAGGTGCATGTGAGAGTGGCATCTCCACCAATCAAGCATCCATGTTATATGGGTATAAATATCCCAACTAAACATGAACTGGTCGCTAACAGGGTGGATATGGACAAAATTGCAAACCATTTTGGTATGTATATCATTAATCCTGCAACGAGGCTTTCATGTTTATAATGATCAATATTAAAATCAAAATAACTTTGAAAAAAGATGCAGGGGGTTTCATTAATCTGTATCTGTTTGAAGATATTTTATTTGTGCTACTGCACCCTGTACGTTCTGTTCTAATATTTATAAAATTTTCTGTGTTTAATGCGACTTAATTTGAATATCAAAGCCTAAAAATTAGTAGTTACTGCCCTTCAAATCCAGGTATACTATCATTTTGTTACCTATCATTGAGTGACCTAAAGTGCTATCCAGTAAAATATTCCCTTGTAATTTTAAATTGAAATTATCTAGGAATGGAAGTATAACAATCATTCTTTGACTGTAAAGTACATTTTGATACCTTTTTGATCCCAAAAGAAACAATTATTTAGCCAATTACACGGTTCCATATAGCTTTATACCCTTTAAGAAATAAAGCCCAGGAGATAAACATACATGCTGACATAATATATCATAAATATATAATGGCAGTGATGGCCTAGTGGTCAAGGTGTAGGCCTCTCAACACTGGGATTGTGGGTTTGTACCGGCCTTAAGGTTATAAAACTTTTTTTCCGAGTTCGTCCTCAAATCTCAGTATTTTCATTGATGCGTGCACATTCTTAGACAGTTTCTGACCAATCAAATTCCCAAGATCTGAGTTAGAACTTAAAGAATCCAGTACAGAACTATGGATCCAGTTTAGTTCCTGGAAGTGGTCTAAAGGTGATTAACATAAATTGCAAGAACTTCTTTCACAATCTGGCTTAAATTTGAATAATCATGTTTCTGAATATATTTTATTATATATTTTTCAGGTGCTGACAGTTTACAGTATTTGTCAGTGGACGGATTAGTTAAGGCAACACAAGAAGGAATATCTAAAGACAACAATAAAAGTGTTGGCCACTGTGTGGCATGTTTGACTGGTTCCTATCCCATTAAGTTAGACTGGTAACATTTATTCTTTTAAAGCTGCACACCGCCAGATTTTAGCAAACAAATTAAAAAAAAAGAGAAAAAAGAGAATTTGAGAGAAAAAGATCTTATCAGAGTTTCAAGAAAGTTGAAATAAAATAAACAGTGCATGGTTTATACAAAATATGATTGAACACTCTATACCTGTATTGTTACTATCTTCTATGGATAATCATTAGAGATAGAAAAAAATATAAAGATAATTTGTGAAACAAATTTTTCTATTTAGATTTTTTTTGCATTTAATCAAATTATGATGAATCTGGAGGTACATTCCTTTAAAGGAGTTATATGTTTGTAAAGAGAAGTAACTCATGTGATAAAATGTTTGTAAAGGGAAGTAACTCATGTGATACAAGATTTGGTAATTGAATTCTGTGATATTCAACTGGGAGTGTATATAAATTTAACATTGACAGTATCTGTCACATTAAGTATGTTATTGATTGTCTTGCCTATTATTAGGAGGCTATTATGAAATTATACTAGTTATATTGTACCCCCCAAGACCTTTGAGTGTAATTGTCAACTATTTTGTGTGTGATCTGAATTATTTTGAGTGAAATGTCTATTTTGAGAGAGATATCAACATTCGAGTGTGATGTCAATTATTTTCAGAGTGACATCAACTGCTTTAAGTAAGATGTCAACATTTGACTGTGATGTCAAGTATTTTGAGTGAAATATAAACTATTTTGAGTGAAATATAAACTTTTTTGAGTAAAATGTAAACTAGTTTGAGTGAAATGTAAACTATTTTGAGTAAAATATAAACTATTTTGAGTGAAATATAAACTATTTTGGGTGAAATGTAAACTATTTTGGGTGAAATGTAAATTGTTTTGAATGAAATGTAAACTATTTTGTGTGAAATGTAAACTATTTTGAGAGAGATATCAACATTCGAGTGTGATGTCAATTATTTTCAGAGTGGGTGAAATGTAAACTATTTTGAGTGAAATATAAACTATTTTGAGTGAAATGTAAACTATTTTGAGTGAAATGTGAACTATTTTGAGTGAAATGTAAACTATTTTGAGTGAAATGTAAACTATTTTGAGTGAAATGTAAATTGTTTTGAATGAAATGTAAACTATTTTGTGTGAAATGTAAACTATTTTGTGTGAAATGTAAACTATTTTGAGTGAAATATAAACTATTTTGAGTGAAATGTAAATTGTTTTGAATGAAATGTAAACTATTTTGTGTGAAATGTAAACTATTTTGAGTGAAATGTAAACTAGTTTGAATGAAATGTAAATTGTTTTGAATGAAATGTAAACTATTTTGTGTGAAATGTAAACTATTTTGAGTGAAATGTAAACTATTTTGAGTGAAATGTAAACTAGTTTGAGCAAAATGTAAACTAGTTTGAGTGAATTATAACTATTTTGTAAGAAATGTAAACTATTTTGAATGTAATGTAAATTATTTTGAGTGATATGTAAAATATTTTTATCAAGATGTTGGTTATCAGTTAGTTATGGTGTCCCACTTTTTTAAGTGTGATGTCAGCAATTTGAGTTTTGTTATCAATTGTTTTGAGTTTTGATGTCAACAGTTTTGCGTGTGATTTCAACTAAGTTTTCTTAGCTGAGATCTTTGAGTAAGATGTAAGTTATTTGTAACATAGTTTGTAAATCAAGTTGGGAATTTATTGAATGTGTATACACATTCCTATTTGTTTAAATATTATATGTAAATATGTGCTAAAAAGTTAACAGAGGTACAATTTCGTTTATAAATTTGTTTATAGACATAACTGTTATAATTAACATAAATAAGAACATCTGACAAAAAAAGTCATGGAAGAAAAATCTTCATATGTAATATTTACATGTGTAGGTTGTCAGAAAAAATGAATCTCGAGTAACTAATGATCTCAATATTTGTTGTTGTTTTTTTTTTCTTCAGTTTGTCATTACAAACTTTGTGTATTATCATTTTATTCTTATGTGTTTTTGGAAAGATGTTTCATATTTTTGTAAAAGTTTTTGATTATTAAAATATTTTATTAAATACCAATTTAATTTTGTCAGTGAGATATTTTCTATATTTTTCTTGTTGCAAAATTTTGATGTTTGTCATGAAAAATGTTTCAAAAATGTAGAATATCTTTCACTCCAGAATGAATTTTTGGTATAACTTACACAAAATAATGCTCATTGTATCATAGCATAGCATAATCCATATTTGCTACAAACCTTTCCCTTTTTTCCTCAATTGTGCCATAATCAATAATCCATTATGTGTTCTAGATTTTAAAGATACTCTTTGTATATATTGGTTAAATAAAAAACAAAATTATTTAGTTTAAATATATGCCTTTTGTTATTTATCTCACTCTCTGAAAACATATTTATAAGAAATGACTTTATAAATATTGCATAGTTTGTTTGTTCTGTTTGGTTTTACGGCAAACACAATTTAGGTCATAAGGCGCTAAAACAGGAAAGAGGATTTTGGCTAACCTCGGGTGTTACAAACTTAAAGCAACACCAGGGGTCAATACCACCTCACCTGCAGGAGCTAAGAGATGCATAGACTCAGTAATTCAAATCCATTTAGTCGCCTCTTAGGATCACGCAGGGATGAACAGTGGTTGCAATTCTGATCCCTCAACTCTTCAAGGTAACCCCTCAGTCACAAGGATAATTTATTGCAAAGTGCCATCAGTTGACTCGTGTTTAATTTTTCATTTCTAGTTATGAAGTGCAGAAAATAACGAAGAAACAGTAAAAAAAAAAAATTATTTGGATGATATCTAACAATTTTTTGTTTTATAATTAAAGGGGCTCCACTGAGGTTTTTGACTGAAATATTTGACTTATGATTTGTATACCATTTGATGTAGGTTTGGAATAGTCAATTTTATTGTGCAAAGTGACCTAGCAATGAAAATCCTTGCAAAACTTGTCACATAAATTGATCCAAGACGTGCACGTAATTATGGTTTATATATATATTTGGTACTGCAAGCAGAATATCTGAAAATCTTTAAAAATTATTAGTCCAACCCTACATCAATTTATTGCGATGACTCCATTTGTACTGTAGCAAAAGAGATGTAACTCACAATCATCAATTTTTGAATTACAATTTTTTAGTGCCATGAACACTGCATTCCTTCTACATGTTTACAGAGAATTGGTGCCTTGCACTTTGAACAGCTCTAGTTTCAATTTGGCAGTAAACTGTTCTAACTCTTTGGTCTACTTCATTAATATGCATTGTATGTCAGTAAATGTGTGTTTAGTGGAAACACAAGGGGAGTTAATAAACAAATAGGAAAAAAACAAAACTGATAGAGCAAATATCTTTTTATTATAAAACAAAAATTAAAGAACAGCAGTAATATTTAAATAACCAAAAAAGTGATATTGTTATATAAACTCGCCAGTAGTTTACATATATACCTGTACAGTTAACCATTTACCTGCTTGAGCCAGATGTGATTAAACCTATGTCACCTTAGTGCAGTAACTGTTAACTCCTATCAAATTATGAAAGGAGTTAACCTGTTGCTACACTAAGGCGACACTGTGTCACCTGTATAGAGCCAGGCTAGCCCGAACATCTGTGCAGTCTGAACATACTCTATACTGTTGGCTGACTAACTTGATATAGGCCTATACAGCTTGATTATCTTTAAAACAGATAACAGACAATTCCAAAAAAGGAAGCATGGCATATCCATCTGAAAAATGGAAGCTGGACAAATCCATTTCAAAAACTTAGCAGGGTTACTGGTTAAAAAATTGGCACAAACAAAGACTAAAGAATTTGATATAAGATATTATAACATTGTTTATATAAATAGAAGTTTAGGGTGCCAAAACTGTGGTGTATAACTGTTGTAACACAATAAATAAAGCAGTTTTGTACAAAGTAGCATATGGATTTAATTTTTAGTTTTTGCAAACTATAATTATTTAACACACATTAATGTTGTGTAAACAGAATAAAATGTTCCGGAACAAATCATTAAGATACAATAAATCATAATTCTTTAAATTTCTTTTACGTTTGTATCTTGCTCCCAAAAACTGGCTCTTTTAGTCAGTATATTATATACCTATGAGAAAATGATTTCGTTGAAATAAAAAGCAACAGATCTTCGTCTGTAAACATTTAGCTGCCCATGTGATCACAAATGTTGAGGTAGCTTTTTTTTAATCAGCCAATTGAATTTGGTTGTTTGTGATATAACATGTTTAAATCTATCACCAGTACCATGTGGCCAAGTCTTGGTGATATAACAAATTTAAACCTACCACCTGACCAAGTCTTTGAGATGTAACATGTTTAAACCTACCACCTATCCAAATCTTGGTGATATTACATGTTAAAACCTACCACCTGACCAAGCCTTGGTGATATAACTTGTTTAAATCTACCCCCTAACCAAGTCTTGGTGATATAACATGTTTAACCCTACCCCCCTGATCAAGTCTTGGGTGATATAACATGTTTAACCCTACCCCCTGATAAAGTCTTGGGTGATATAACCTGTTAAATCTACTACCTGACCAAGTCTTGGTGATATAACATGTTAAATCTACTACCTGATCAAGTCTTGGTGATATAACATGTTTCTCCTTCATGTGATTGTCCACCAAATTAGAGTTATGAAATTGCCCTCCTATGAATTTGGAACAGTCCATTTTAAATATAAGGGATTTCTAGATCGGAGGGCTAGAACTGAGCGACTCGGAATGCAGATAATTGGAATAATCCAAGTTATAACATACTGCTTGTCTTCAATATATTAAATCCTTCACCACTAAATGTTTTATCCCATCATTACAATGTACCTTACTGAGATAATGTCTAAAAATCAAAGAAATTTGCTTTTGAAAAGATATGTTTTTAGTCACTATGCAAAACATGTATTTTTCTTGGGAAGAAAAACGAACAAATTTAATACTGAAATGATTTTTTATCAGCTTATAAAAATATCCGAAAAATCACAATAAATCAATGAACTTTTTCAAACACAAAAGACAGGTAGCTTCTACTGAATATTTCCTTCTTGCAGGCACACAGAGTATCAGTCTTCAAGGCAGTTAACAGGGTTTCAAAACAAAGCAAAAAAAAACAGAATTAAATATGAGTATTAAATACTCAAAATCTTTTTCAACTATATGTATTTTGGTACTATCAATACCTCAACAAACTTGCCAGAAAATCGATATTCATTAACAAAGATATAACATATTCTACCCAAAGAAAAATCCTGAACTTTGAGTGTATAAAATTTAATAAAGTCTTGTGTTAGCATTAGAATACAATATAAACATAATGACACAATAAAATTACAATATTTCATGAAGATGAGACCTAATTAAGTCTAGATGATGATCTTAGATGAAGTAAATTTGAGCAAAGGGGAAGAATTATGATTCAACAACCATAGTAACAACAATATAATGTAAGTTTTGTACATAATACAGGGAAATATCACAGAGATAATTATACTGACAATTCTAATTTTTGTTAGTTTTTTTTCAGTTATGCACTACTCAATTGTAACTACAGCATCTTCACCCCCAAAAAATATTTGGAATGTTTGCATTTAGATTTTTTTTCAAACCCTGGTAAAGGGCCTACTCTATAGAAATATATAGATGGTATAATTCATGTTTAAAGCCTAGCAATGCCACATGGATATATCCAGAGTATCCATTTTTAGTGCCAAAACAAAAACATCACATTGACCTGGCAGTGTGAGGACAGATGAATGGTAAAAACCCCACTCAATTCCTTACTTATCTTCCACCCTCCTCCAAAGGTAAGGCTGTAGTAACAATTGATTCATTAGAGAAAAGAAGAAAATAAAAATAAGTGGTATAACTAAAATAATACACTACAACTATATCTTCATGCTAAAAATAGCACAGGTTGTATGCCACCAAATATAATCCTTCCAAAATTGTATTAATCTATGTGCCCATCTTAAAATCGAAAATAGTATAAGAATGCACATTTCATCTTGTGATATTTATTATAGTCCAATAATCAAGACTAGTAATTGACATGTAAAAGTAATGTTTGAATCTATAGTAACAATCTCTTCAATTAATTACCATATAAACATTAAAAATTCTATTATAAACTAAAGAAACACCTTGTTTCTTACATAACAATTTACTTATATCAGTTGCTAATCTGACTGTTAAAAGTCCAGGTCTCAAAGTATCAAATTTAAGATTCTGAGACCGTGACGAGAGTATCAAAATTATCTGGCAACAAAACAAAACGAGGGTCAGTTAAAGAGACTGTGTATCAATTTATAGAATTTCTTTAAATCTATCATATATGTAGAGGCATGTGAAGTCCAGCAATGTTTAAATCCAGTGTTGGTTCATGGTGTATACCAGGTGGCGCCCAGTCTCCGAGACCGACTCCGTTGTAAGGTCGGTTGAGTAGACGTCTAGACAGATGGTACGGTGACATTCTCTCTAATTGCGATAATACCATGATAACTTGTCTGAAAAAAGAAAATTGAACACTTCGATATTCAACAATATACTGATTGGGATAAATAACTGGGGTAAAAAGACACAAATATTAGAATAAATCAAATCTACATCAGTAATTGAAGATCAAAATTATCAAGGCCTAGTTAAACATTACCATAACTATGTATTGCTATATGCTTATAGAATGAAGGTACGTCATTCTACACATCACAAACTGTATACAAATTTCCGAAACACCTGTGTAACAGAGTTAAACATTTCTAACATACCCGTGTAATATACATATACTTATCTAACATACCCGTGTAATATACATATACTTATCTAACATACCCGTGTAATATACATATACTTATCTAACATACCCGTGTAAAATACATATACTTATCTAACATACCCGTGTAATATACATATAACTTATATAACATACCCGTGTAATATACATATACTTATCTAACATACCCGTGTAATATACATATACTTATCTAACATACCCCGTGTAATATACATATACTTATCTAACATACCCGTGTAATATACATATACTTATCTAACATACCCGTGTAATATACATATACTTATCTAACATACCCGTGTAATATACATATACTTATCTAACATACCCGTGTAATATACATATACTTATCTAACATACCCGTGTAATATACATATACTTATCTAACATACCCGTGTAATATACATATACTTATCTAACATACCCGTGTAATATACATATACTTATATAACATTCCTGTGTGCGGCATTTTTTACTTACTTGTGTAAATGTAGTTTAATAAAGGTATATATGAGCCGTGTCCTGACGAAACCAACATAATGGGTTTGCGACCAGCATGGATCCAGACCAGCCTGCGCATCCGTGCAGTTTGATCAGGATCCATGCTGTTCGCTATCAGTTTCTCTACTTGTTAAAGGGTTTGTAAGCGAACAGCATGGATCCTGATCAGACTGCGCGGATGCGCAGGATGGTCTGGATCCATGCTGGTCGCAAACGCAGTATGTTGGTTTTGTTGTGACGCGGCTCATATTTCTATCATGCCTGTGAAAAAGTGGTTTATATAACATACCTGTGTTATTGAGTCTACAATTCTTACATAACTGTGTATCACAGGTTCATATTTATAATATACCTGAGTCATGGAGATCAATATTTATAAGATATATGAGTAATAGAGATACGTGTGTAATGGAGGTCTATATTTCTTAGTACCTTTGTAATGGAGATCAAAAACATACCTGAGCAATAGAGATATATGTCTTACATGCCTGTGTAATGGAGTCTATTTCTTACTTCTTTGTGTAATAGAGATTTATATTGCGTACATACCTGTGAAGTGGAGGTATACTATCTTTGGTTACGAGGGCTCCTCTGGTGGACACAAGGTTAGATGAGTCACTACAATCACATTTTATATGTACACTATGTGAGGGTAACCGGTTCTCTATGACAAACAATCCACCACACCAGCCGTGCATTAAAGTATAGCAAGTTACACCTTCTCTGATCTGTAATCAACACAGTGGAACATTTCAGTAACTTTTTCAATACAGTGAACATTTCAGTAACTTTTTCAATACAGTGAACATTTCAGTAACTTTTTCAATACAGTGAAACATTTCAGTAACATTTTCCACACAGTGAAACATTTCAGTAACATTTTCCACACAGTGAAACATTTTAGTAACATTTTCAAAACAGTGGAACATTTCAGTAACATTTTCCACAAAGTGAAATGTTTCATTAACATTTTCAATACAGTGAAACATTTCAGTAACATTTTCAACACAGTGAAACATTTCAGTAACATTTTCAACACAGTGAAACATTTCAGTAACATTTTCAACACAGTGAAACATTTCAGTAACATTTTCAACACAGTGAAACATTTCAGTTACATTTTCAATACAGTGAAACATTTCAGTAACATTTTCAACACAGTGAAACATTTCAGTAACATTTTCCACATAGTGAAACATTTTAGTAACATTTTCAATACAGTGGAACATTTCAGTAACATTTTCAATACAGTGGAACATTTCAGTAACAGTTTCAACACAGTGAAATATTTTAGTAACATTTTCAACACAGTGAAACACTTCAGTAACATTTTCAACACATTGAAACATTTCAGTTACATTTCCAACCCAGTGAAACATTTCAGTAACATTTTCAACACAGTGAAACATTTCAGTAACATTTTCAACACAGTGAAACATTTCAGTAACATTTTCAACACATTGAAACATTTCAATTACTTTTTGCAACAAAGTGAAACAGTTCAATTACATTTTGCAACAAAGTGATTCAGTTCAATAACATTTTGCAATAACTTGAAACATTTCAATTTCATTTAACTAAATTCTAACCATCAACCCGCTTCATTCATGTTATGGATGTATCAAGCTTTGAATATGAAATTTTAAAGGATTTCAATATCAAAATACAAAAGCTGAGCACAAACAAAATAGAGCCTGGTCAAACTGAAAGGTATTTAAATAAAATAAAAGCAAAATGCTAGATCATGACAGAGGCAACAATGACTTATTCTTTTCAAGAGCTATTTAAGAAAACTTTGAACCATTTCCCCAACATTGCAGGAAATGGCTTAAATTGTGAACAGAAAATTGACTACTTAATGAAAGGACCTTTAAATCACTTTTTTTAATTGGGTTTTAAGTCAAAATGTTTTTATCAACATTTTGTCATACTAGTATTGCAACTTTTAAGCTTTACTAGCAGAGGAAGACATTGGGTATTTCAAATCAAATCACATGTTGGTATTGCTACTTGAAAGAGTGACAGCATTGATTTTATGAAATATTTCTTCACATAAATGTCAAAAAATACCATGTCAACAAATTTGATGTTAATTCACTGATAGGTCCTCCAGTAAAGTTAATCTAACATCAACATTCTTTTGAAATGCTCTTGTCACAGAAAGTGCATTTTATTTTTGAATCAAAATCTCATTTTTTTTTATAAACTTTAATATAAGCTTAATAATGTCACTTTTTCAGTATTTTTCTGGTCCTTTGGGATCATTGAGTCCAGCACTTCCAAGTGCTGAGAACTGAGTGTTGCTCAACTCAGTGCTGGGGGCCATGAGGGATGTTGCACTTTTTCATTATCCCTCATGTACAGACTCAGTCTTCAATTTTCATATAATTTTGCTGTTTTTTTATGCTTCCAATGAATTACTTTTTTTCCCCAATATTAAAACTCACCTCCTCTCTGTTGCCCTTATCAACAGCAAGCTGTACAACAGCATCAGCGAAAGCATGTCTATATTTACTGACAGTTGTGTCTATCTCGTCAACCATTACAGCTTTAGAACTGTGTATTGATAAAACAAAATCTTTCTCTGCCACTGTTACATTCACTGTAAATATTAATTTGACCAGTTATATATGAGTCGTGTCATGACAAAACCAACATAGTGAATTTGCGACCAGCATGGATCCAGACCAGACTGCGCATCCGCGCAGTCTGATCAGGATCCATGCTGTTCGCCTACAAACCCTATTACAAGTAGAGAAACTGAAAGCCAACAGAGGCTCATATTAATAATCTAAACAAGTTCAAAATATTCATTGACTGGTGTCATGGCAGAGAGACAAATCTGACGGAATAAATAATATGATAATAATTAGGTGGTTAACATTGCAAAGTATAAAAAGTTGGGAAACATGTTATCTTTTTCCCCATTTCATAAATGTTATCTTTTCCCCCCACATGGGATTCTTAATTATTTCACATTCTACAAATGGTTATTTGTTATAATCAGGATAATGTCAAAGTGTGGCGGCGTGGCCGAGTGGTTAATACCTCGGACTAGTAATCTAGGGCTTGCTTGCTGCGTGGCATTAAATCACATTAAAGGCAAGCAGTTGTTTCCTTGAGCAAGAAACTTTACACTCATTACTACGGACAAGTTAGGTCCAGGAACAGATTCGAGAGTATTTCAATAAGCTTATACAGTAAACTTCACTTTATAGCAACACAAGGTTTAAAACGAACTTCCTGGTTATAGGGGAACAATTTATTTTTCGCCCGAATTTTGCCCCTTCTTTTATTTAATATAAAAAAAATATGGTTATAGCAACAGTTATAAGAATTATCGCTTATAAGGAAAATCATTTCTTATCCCAATTTATTAATAGTACAGAAAAATTTCACTATATAATGATCTCCAAAATTTCTATCCCCTAAAAAGATCCGTATTTTTACATGACTCTTTTACCAAATAAAACGGGTTTTTTTCTTCAAAGTTTTGCTTTGGGAAAAAAAATTTTAAATAATTTTTAATCGGGTTTTTAACATAATCATCTCTTGCAAGATGACCATTGCAAACTCAAATACCTTGATTTAAAAGAAAAAAAATTTATCTTACATTAGTAAAATCACCCCTTTAATTAAATAGAAATATTTAAATAAAAGGAAAAAAATCGAAAAATCTTGTTTTTCTAAATCATGGAAAGAAAACAAAAATTAATTGTTATTTTAAAACAAATATATTTTTATCCCCGAAATTGAATAAGGAGAAAAAACTAAACCCTGAAATAGCTGATTTTGGGGAATTCCAAAAAGTGGGCTCTCGGAAAAAGTGTGTCAAAAAATAAAAAAATTAAAGCCTAATATTTCTATTTTTTAAAATAAAATTATTTTAAAAAATGGGGAAAATGGTAAAAAATAGTTCTTTAAATAGGGTTAAATCTGTTCGCTAAAAAATTTCCTGAACTCGAAACAAATTCGCTAAAATTTTTTTAAAAGGAACCCCCGGATAAAAGGGAAACCCAGGTTTGAAGCCCCAGTGAGTTCGTTTTTAACCCGGATTTTACTGTAGCTTCAAAAAAAATAAAAACCTAAAAAAAATTGGTATAAACAAAAAATTTTAATTTGATTTCCTCCATAATTTTTTAAAAAAACCCTATTTTTTAAGCTTGCTTTAAATTTTTGGGTTTTTAATTCAATAAAATAGATAATAAAGTACCATTTGCCCAATGTTTAAAGGGAAGGATAAACTATTCCCCCAGGTTTCCCAACATAACTTACAACCAACAAAGCTCTTTAACTGTCGTCTGCTGCAGGCAATCAGACGACCAAATGCTGTATTATCAGACGTAGACTCTCTAAACACTAACACACATAGATCTAAAACATTCTTTGAGTCATCAGTTCCCCTGGAAACAGATTTTATAAAATATCAAAAAAAAAATTAACTAATTTCTTTGAAAGGATTATATAAAAAAACTTATTATAATTGATTTAAATGAGAAAATTACATAATATAGCTGATAAAAACAAATTAAATGACAACATTTATGAACCAAAGACAGAACAGTCCATACCAAGTTTAAGGAATTCAAATATAAAAATTTAAAGTTCTGCGGCATAAGATAATAACTAACAATATGCTGTCCAATGAAAATCCTTGTTACAAAAGTGTAAAATAATAAACCTTACCTAACACCTTCTTGAAATACACCAATTTCGACTTCAGTTGTATAGAAAACCGTAACTTTCACAACCTTGGGTGAGTCCTTGCCGTTATGAGGTAGTTTACCGCGTATCCTTGCCTCCCTCCAATCTGGTCGTACCTTACAAACGTCAACACTATCAAAGTACCTGAAGTATCAGTCATAAATCTGAGTTTAGTAAGTTTAAAATACCATACTTCTCTATACAGACCATCATTGGGTCTTTAACAAGAGCTGTCGGTAGGACAGCAACGTTCGACTATTCTTAGCGCTTGATAGTAAAAAAAATGCTTGATACAGTTACCTCCTCCTGTTTACAGGTTGGGGTCATGATGGTGAACAAGTGTGCAAAGTTTCAAAGCCATATGTCTATGGACTTTGAAAATATTTGAACTATTACAAAAACTTTAACGTAAATTCTAAGTCTAAAAAGGGGCATAATTCTGTCAAAAATGCTTGATAGAGTTACCTTCTCCTGTCTACAGGTTGGGGTCATGATGCGTGAACAAAGCGTGCACAGTTTCAAAGCCATATGTCTATGGACTTTGAAAATATTTGAAAACTATTACAAAAACTTTAACGTAAATTCTAAGTCGAAAAAAGGGGCATAATTCTGTCAAAATGCTTGATAGAGTTACCTCCTGCCTGTCTACAGGTTGGGGTCATGATGGTGAACAAGTGCTGCAAAGTTTCAAAGCCATATGTCAATGGACTTTGAAAATATTTGAACTATTACAAAAACTTTAACGTAAATTCTAACTCGAAAAAGGGGCATAATTCTGTCAAAATGCTTGATAGAGTTACCTCCTCCCTGTCTACAGGTTGGGGCGTCATGATGGTTGAACAAGTGTGCAAAGTTTCAAAGCCATATGTCAATGGACTTTGAAAATATTTGAACTATTACAAAAACTTTAACGTAAATTCTAAGTCGAAAAAAAGGGCGATAATTCTGTCAAAATGCTTGATAGAGTTACCTTCTCCTGTCTACAGGTTGGGGTCATGATGGTGAACAAGTGTGCAAAGTTTCAAAGCCATATGTCAATGGACTTTGAAAATATTTGAACTATTACAAAAACTTTAACATAAGTGGTTACGCCGACGCCGACGCGGATGCCGACGCTCGGGTGACTGCAATAGCTCTACTTATTCTTATCGAATAGTCGAGCTAAAAATTGTCTTAAAAACAATATACAGGTTTATTTGTTTGGTTTTATGATGAACCAACAAAGTCATAAGGTGCCAAAACAGGAAAGACCTCAGGTGTTACAAAATTAAATGCAACACCTGGTGTCAAAACCACCTCAACTGCTGTATATAAGACATACATAGACTTCAGTAATTTGAACCCATTTAGTTGCCTCTTACCATCAGGCAGGGGTACATGGTGACTGCAATTCTTATGCCTCAACCATTAAAGACAACCCCTCAACCACAAGGGGTAATATACAGTAAAAACCTTCTATTTTGACCATCAGTGATTGGATCATTACAAAATCAGTCTTAACCACAGATGTTCTCATCAATGAATATTGTTACCTACCATTAGAATAATATTTTATGACAGTCCTCAATTTTAATGTCATTTTATAACTACATATTCAAACTAATATGTAAATGATATATTATAGAATGATATTTGACATAATAAGAACATTTTTCTGAAGAAATTTTTAAAAATAAATCTCTAAATCTTGACTACCTAACGAATAACATAGTTATAGTTAGTGGTCGCATGGCAGAGTAGCTAACGTTTCGGAATAGCTAGCTGTGTGGGTTCAAACACTGTTAGGGAGAAGCTGTTGCTTAGGCCACTTCTTTTTTATTTCTTGGTTTACAAAACCGGCGACCCGAAATATTTGTAAATTGGAAAAAAAATAAAACTGAAATTTCCACTTTTTTTTCCCCCGATGCAAAAAAAATTATCCGATAAGCGCGATAAATATGAGTACGAAAATTCGAATATTTTTGAGTACGAATCTATATAACACAACATTCGGACTACCTCGGATATCACTCATATTTGGTATTAAGTCATACCCTACCTCGGATAACTACCACAGTTCATGGTAAAACAACAATGGCGGCGCCCTTGAGCGGCACTGTTTATTTCCAAGTTGATTTTGTTGGAATTTGGAATTAAAGATTTGCCAACCAGACGGGCTTTTTTAAAGGCTGCCGTTGATGAGGACATCGGCACGGCTATAGAGCCGATATCCTCCTCGAGAAAGATTTAATGGTTTGATTTACCTATATTTGCTAGTATATTGTTAAATCTGTTATTTTTCTTTTCGTCGAAATGCTCAGGGCCGAGACCCCGCTTCGGACACACATCCGATCAGTATAAACCGGGCATGGAGAAGTGCATGCTTTATAAAGTGATGCCAAGAAAAAATGAGAACAATATAGATAATAAATGTTTATATTTTTATTTTTCTAAAGATGGCAAATATTTTTGGTAACATTTGTATCAAGAAAAGTTTAACATGAAAAGCTATACTAAGGAAAAACAACAATAAAAAGATGTTTAAATTACTGTTTTTGCTTAATGTCAATAGGAGAATGAACTATTTTTGACCAAAATAGTCTGTTTTTATGTGCACCATACAAGATTTTTTTTTTTTAACAATATACCCGATGAGACCTTTTTGAGGTTTTTTTTTTTTTTTTTTTTTCGACCACCCAGTGCGGACATTTTTGAAAAAAAATTTTGTAAACCAAGAAATAAAAAAGAAGTGGCCTTAATTGAGCAAAATTCTATTAACACACCTTGTTCAGTACTTGTTGAATTCAAAACTCAAAAGATATTTATTCTAGGCAAATAAGTATTATTTAATACAAATATCTCAATCTATAGCCGATTTGCCAATTAAAGATCTATCTAGATCAATTAAGGGGAAGATATCTTAGGCAATCAGATATCTAGGTCAATTACATATCTAGGTTAAACAGACATCTCCGTAAATGTTTGGGGAAGATAAAAAACTTAATTAAGATATAAGAATAAACTAAGAAGGTCAATAACAAGAGCTGATTGAGAACCATTGCATTCAACCTTTCTCAGTGATGAAAAGTAAACTGCACTTTCATTTAATGACCAATTTTATGTTTGGCTATTTACAGTGACCTTCGACTGTTTGACCTGATTTTCACTCTCTTTTTTGTTTAAAACCTGAAAATGAAAAGTGACATTTTAAAAGTCTTTAAAGGTCCCATCTACATCTGGGTTTTTAAATTTGTAGTAGTGTTAATAAGTGTGAAATGACAAAATTTGGAAAAACTTAAAACAAGATGGTTAAAAACGGAAAAACCCAAACATCAAAGGGTTTCCCAAAGTAGGTCATACAAAAAGTTTTGGGTTTTTTCATAAAAAAAGGGGATTTAAAAAAAGGTTGGGGGGGGGGAATAAAAAATTTATCTTTTAAAACAAGGACATTTTAAAAATGCCCCATAATACTTTAAACCCCATTCATTTTTAAAAATTAAATGTAAAAAAGGTTTCAAGTTTTTAAAAATTATTTTGTTATTATTTTTGGCCGTCTGCCCTTTTTTAAACATCTGCCAAATCTAAGGGCTGGGTTATGAAATAAGTCTTGTTTGAATGTTTGTTTAAATGTATTCTTATAAATGCCAAATCTCTTTTTAAGGTCCAAGACCTTTAATCTATGCCATCTATGCCCTTAAATCTATGTCACATGACGACTTCCTGTGAGTCATAACAAGTAATCATCAAGGGTGAGATTGTGAAAGTCCAACAAGAGAATTTCACAACTAGAGGAATTTTAACCCATGACCTCTGGATAAGGAGTCCCATGTTCAACCACTACATGACCCTTCATCATCTAGGAGACGAAAACAGATGGTTGTGGTGGTGTTGGTAGTTTTCAGTCCAGATCCCGGTAGTAAGCCACACTGAATTTACCAAAGCACATTTCAACCACTGCATCATTCCTGGGCAGGCTGTCAAGCAGTTTACCAGTACTAGTTGCCTTCACTTTTGCAAGGAACTGAAACTTCTGTACATACCAGAGCAGAGGTGCAGTGTGAATGACCATACAAAAGGATGTTATGATCAATCACAACAAAAGTGACCTGCACCGTCCAGAAATTGAACTCGGGTCTCCCGATTCACAGTCCAACTTATTGAGCTAACCCGAGGAAAACGGACTGACATATCTTTATAGGCATAATGATCATTAAAATGATAAATCATACTTCACGAGATCAGACAAAGAGATCCAGAACACTCCGAGACCACTCCCATGAGGCATCAGCTCTTGTTTGTGGCGCGGTGAAATTTTCTTCCACATATCACTGTCATCACTCCAGTCACCTTTCCAAGAATAACGCCCCCATGGATTTCGTAATCGTAGCAACCTGGAAAAAATAGCGTTCAAGAATTATTACTATTCATATTAAGGGAATGGGCCTAATTATTATTTATACCCTGATATATATATGATATATACATTTATGATTTATAAAGAAATACAACATGTACCGAATACCTTATTTTCTGGATGTCAGCCATTTTCAAGAATTATGAACATTTCCAGAACTAAACACATGGGGTAGAATCATTTTCATTATCATACATGAAAATACAAACAAATTCAAAGAAAACAATTATATATATAATTGGTCTTACATTTTGTAAAAATATTTCTGGTAAATGATTCTGAAGCTTTTAAATTTTTGTTAATTACATTGATTCTAAGACAAATGTTTTCTAGCAATAGATATTACATAAGTTTTTTGTCCTGTTCCAAGTAGGTAAATAAATTATTTCAATACACCCATTTACGTAATTCCTTCATACACTTCAAGACATATCTAATAAAATTTTCCTTGTGTATTTAAAGCATACAATGTTGGATTTACATTAAGTAGCACTTGATAATTGCTTAGAAAAAAGCAAAACACTGAAATCAAGTATCATTCATTATCATGGGAAAGATCATAGTAAAAAGTAACATCTATCTTAGACATAAAATCAGCACTTGTTTTTTTTTTTGCCATGGCCTAATAAAGTCTGGCATATCTACACAAACTGTAATCTTCACGCAGCTATACAAGTCAATCCAAGATTGGGCATGGACATGCAGACTGCCTGGCTCTTAAAAATATAACTTTTTTTTAATGCTTTCACATTTTTTAGTTCCCATGTTTATAAAAGGTAAAGGAGAATAATTAATGTTCTGACTGAGTAGGGTACCCAGTCAATATATCAGGCATAAATGTGAACTGAGTGGGGTACCCAGTCAATATATTGGGGATTAAATATGGACTGAGTTTGGGTACCAGGCAATATATCAGGGATAATGTGACTGGAGTGGGTACCCAGTCAATATTTCAGGATAATGTGACTGATGGGTACCGCTGCAGTCAAATATATCAGGTAATGTGACTTGAGTTTGGGTACCCAGTCAATATATCAGGATAAATGTGACTGGGAGTGGGTACCCAGTCAATATTCAGGATAATGTTGACTAGTTGGGTTTACCAGTCAATAATATCAAGGAATAAGTACTGAGTGGGTTTAATCCAGTCAATATATCAAGGATAATGTGACTGGTGTTGGGATTACCCAAGGTCATATAATCAAGGATAATGTGACTGAGTGGTACCCAAAAGACCTCTCAGCAATATATCAGGATAATGGATGACTGAGTGTTACCCAGTCCAATATATTCAGGATAATAGTGACTGAGTTTTAAAACCCAGTCCAAATATAATCAGGATAATGTACTGATGGGGTACCCCAGTCAATAATATCAGGATATATGTGACTGAGTTGGTTACCCAGCAGTCAAATATTCATCGAGGATAATATGACTTAAGTTGGGACCCCAAAAATCAATATATCGGATAATGTGACTTGGAGTTTAGGTACCGCCAAAGTCAATATAATCGGGAAAATTTGTGACTGTGTTTGGGTACCCCCAGTTCAATATAATCAGGAAAATGTGACTGGGTTGGGTTTCCAGTCAATATTTTGGAAAAGTTAAAAATTGAAATTGGTACCCAGGTCAATAATATAAAAGGAAATGTGACTGAGTGGGGTACCCCAGTCAATATATAAAGGTTTAATGTAAACGGGTTTTTGGGGGTTTTTAAAACATATTTATAAAAGGGCCTCAAATTGGGGGGGGAAACAATTTTCCTTTGGGGCCAATTTTATTTTTAGATTCCACTTTCGATTTCCGCTTCCGGGAAACCCAAAAACCAGTACTGGGTGTAATATGAAGAAAGCAGGGTTTCGTGGGCCCAAAAAGAGGGCTCAAAACCCATGACCCTTGGGTGAGAGGCAGACCCCTTTAAACCCCACAAAGGAAAAACCACCCCCTAAAATAAGGGGATAAATTCTTTCCGGATGGGGGTATTCAGTCAAATTATTTTCGGGAAAATGTTGACGGGAGTAAAAGGGTCCCCAAGTCAATATATTCCCGGATAATGTGACTGTAGTTAGGTACACAGTCAATAATATTCAGGATAAGTGACTGAATAGGGGTATTCGTCAAATAAATATCTGGATAATGTGACTGAGTGAGGTACCCAGTCAATATATCCGGATAATGGACTTGGAGTTAGGTTACACAGTCAATATATCAGGATTAATCGTGACTGAGTGGGGTACACAGTCAATATATTAGGGGATTAATGTGACTGAATGGGGTAATTCAGTCCAATTTATATCAGGATAATGTGAACTGAGTGTTTTTTTTTTTTCAGTCAATATATCTGGATAATGTGACTGATGAGGTACCCAGTCAATATATCAGATAATGTGACTGAGTGGATACCCAGGTCAATATATCAGGATAATGTCACTGAGTGGGGTACCCCAGTCAATATTGATCTGGGATAAAGGATTTGACTTGAGTGGGGGAAAGCCGGGGTCCAATAAAATAAAAGGAAAAATTGGGGATTTGAGGGGGGTAACATTTCAATATATCGGGAAATGTGTTTGGGAATAGGGGTTTTTCGGGGTTCAAATTATTTTCCCAGGATAATTTTTCCTGAGTGGGGGTTTTATTCAGTTAATAGAATTTGGATAATGTGGCTGGTGGGGGTACCCAAAGGCCCCAAAATTTAAAATCCGGAAAATGTACTGGTTAGGTAAAACCATTAAATTTATATCAGGAAAATTTTGACAAAGGTGGGTAAACCAGTCAATCCCTATCCCATTTTTTATAATGAAAATTATTACAGTAAAAAGTTTTAAAAAAATTTGGGAAAAATTTTGCTTTATAAAAAGAAAAAATCGGAATGCATTTAAAATTAAGGGGGCAACACAAACATAAACAGTTTAACCTTTTTTTTGGGTATGTTTGGGAAAAGGGTGAATGTTTGACTAAGTTTGATTTTTTAGGGGTTAAATTAGTGGGTGTGGGTTAAGTAACTATGTCACTCTGGTCATCTCCTTGTAGATGATAATGTGTAATTATTCAGTTATAACAGGTTATAACAAACATACAAACAAAACTATAGAACTTCAAAAAATTTTTTTCACCTTTAATGTTTTTGGGCCCCAATTTTGGGCCGGGTGTCAAAAAATTTTTTCTCCAAAAGAAAAAATAAAATTTGGGGAAGGGGCTAAAGTTCACCCCCTTTTTTCAAAAAGGGAAAAAGAAAAACCCAAAAAAATAAAATAAAAAGCTTTTTTTTATGGGAAAACCATGCTAGCCTTTTTTCATTTGTTTAAATTTTTTAAAAAAAAAAAGGGGCCCTAAATAGTGTAAAATTTTTTTTTTGGGCAAAAATCCATTTTTAAACTAATTTAAAAATATATAAATTTCCCACAAATAATTTAAAAATGAATGAAAAAAAATCTATATCCCCGGGAAAGGGGAAAAAATTATGTTTAAATTTTCTCAAAAAAAACAACCACAGAAAAAGTAAACATTTTTTACAAGAAAGCGAAAGAAAAAAATTTTGGGAACATAAATGTTTGGAAATCGTAAAAAGGGGTTATGCGACTAAAAAAAATAATAAATTGAGAAATGCCCACGAAAAAACCAAAAAATTTTGGGTTTTGGGGCCCAGCTTTGGGGGTTTCCAGACCAGCCTGCCCCTTTTCCGGGCGCGGCTGTCACTTGATATAAATTTTTCCTCTATTGAAAAAGGGGAAAGGCGAACCCAGGGGTCCTGATAAAGGAACGGCGAAACCCCCAAAGGTTTTGGTCTGGACCCCCTTCCCGGGTCGCAAACCCTTTAAAAATTGGATTGTCTGTCGCGGGCTAAATTTTCTTCGAAATACCATTTTTTACTTACTTAGGGTCCTTGTATTTCACCAACTTTCTAAAATTGAGTACGCATCCCGGGAAAAACGCCCCCCCCGTTTTTGGGAAAAAAAAAATCATCTGCTTCATTTCCCACCACCACAGGACGCACCCTTTCAAAAACCTAAAAAGGGAAATTTTTATCATAAATTTCTTTACTTAATGTTTTTAAAAGGGACTAAAATAAACTGAACGTAAATCCACTCATGTTTTAAAAAAGGGTCTGAAGTAAAATTCTTCCTTTGTAACAACCCCCCATCAACTTACCCAAACAACCTTTTTTGCTCAAGAATTTCCCAATAAATGGTAAAAAGTAGATAAAATGTTTACCCAAGCAGTGGCTTACTTTACCCAAACGGACATGGTTTTTTTTTAATATTAGTGGACCCGGATCCAGGTTAGGAAAATATCTAAGCTCTCCCTTAATTACCAAGAAAAATTTTCTAACAGGTTCAAAAAAAACCCAAATTTTTGGGCAGTTTATTTTTGGAAAAAAAATTTTTGTATTATACATTTTTGGGGGAGATTTTTAGGGCCATCAACCCCAAATAAATTTTTTGTAAGGTTATATGAAAAAATTTGGCTGGAAATTTTTAAATATAGGAAACAAGCACGGTGTATGGGGTGCCCTTTAAATTGGGGTTTTTTTTGGTTGTCAACATTTTAAAAATCCCTCAAAAAAAATCCTTTATCAAACTAGGTTTTTTTCATTTCAAAAGAAAAAAAATTTAATAGGGGGAATTTTCCCAGGGGCATAAGGTCCCTTTTTTAAAAGGGCACCTTTTATAACAAATAAAAAGAAATGTAAAATAAAAAAGAAATTGAAAGTTTTACGATCCATTTAAAAAAGTAAAACATACATTTTTTACGGGGATGTCATCCCCTTTTAAATCATGATAAACAAGATTACATTAACATCGTGAGTAATTTTGTTAAATAAGAACACAATTAGTTATTGTTTGGAGTATTAATGTTAGCCAAACAAAGATTTTAAGTAAGGCATCCTGCAACTCCTTTTAGTTGTAATGATTTTTTTCTTTTTCAAAATTAAATTGCCTCCAAAGGACAGTGAAAAATTGATGCATTAAAAAAACAATTTACTTCCTTGTTTTGGATAAACAAAACAAAGAATAACATGGCCTAAGGGTTTCTCGCACGTATACACTTTCGTAACTTTACGCTAAAGAATAAAAGTCAGGAAGAAAAAATTACTATCATTTCTTTGTTTGGTTTTACACAAAATCGTTGACATTTTCCCAGCAGTAACTTGAAAAGTTTAAAGTAGACTTACTTTTATAGCTTTATTTTTACTTTTTGTATCAAAAAGTCTTTTGTTTTTAAGCCTAGTTTAGTTTTTGTTTATTTAAAACCCTAGTACTATGATACTTGTTTAAATATCAAATTATAATTTTACATCTTTGGATGATACAAAAGATTGCATACTGGAAATCCCTAAAAATTTAGAAGATGGGACAGTTCCAAATAAAAACCAGGGGCAAGTCCATTGTTTCAAATTAAGATAAGTCAAAGGTTGCTTTCTTACTTTTTCATTAATTTTTATTATCTGGTTAAGTGGCAAAAAGACATTTCACTGTAATAGTTGTAGCATGTAAGTTACGATTCTTGTAATAATAATAATAATAATAAAATAATTAATAATAATAATAATTATAAATAAGATAATGATAATAAATAACAATAATGAGAGTAATAATGATGAGATGGAATAAAATAATAAATATTAAGAATAATCATAATAATGAAAAAATAACAACAAATTAAAACTTTTTTTTAATAAGGCCCTTAAATTAAGGACAAAAATCAAAGTATCAAAGAAAATTTCCCCCATTAAAAATCAAAATCATTAAATTTTCAAAAACAATTATAAAGCGAACACCTTTCAAATTTAAACTTTTAACCCCAACCCAAAAAAACGACAAATATTAATTTTATTTTATATATTATTTTTTATTTTTATCTTTAATTTTATTTTTTTAAAAAATAAATTTTTTGAAAAAAGTAAATTTGAATTAATTTAAGACTTCTTTGAATTTTATATTTTCCTTAAAAAGGAAAAAAAAATACTCTTAAAAAACCAAAAATTTAAAAAATAAATTTTCTGGGACGTCCGTGTTCTATTACCAGGGCTTTTTCCCTGTTTGGCCCGCCTCATTGTGACATTATTTTTTTCATATTTCACTGTAGCCTTAAAAAATTTTTTTCTGGCCGTGTTTCCCTAACTAAAAACATTTAAAATTGGGTTTCCCTTTTAAACATTCTGGTTTCCTGTTGGGAAAAGGGCCCTTTGTCAATTTAAAAAAAAAATTTAAGTTTAAATTTTGTTTTACCCCTGATTATTTTTTTTCACTTTAAAACCCTAAACACAATTGGGCCCCTTTTAAAAATAAACCCCCAAATTAAAAATGATATTTAATTTAAATTTCAGATATTAAAGGTTTTAAATAAAATCATTTCAAAAGGGTTTTGGGTAAAATTTATTACTAAGGCTCAAGTATCAATTTGGTGGGTTTTTTTTACGAAATAACAATACTAGTCCAATTTCTACTCTTTTTTTCATACAGTAATTTCATCATATAATTTTGTTATGTTGTTAAATAAAACTTGGATATGGGGAATTTTTTCTTTTTTTTTATGACAATTTTAGGAGAAATTTTTATTGGTAAATGCTGATATTTTTATTTTAAAACCCCTGACTTAGCAAAACGTTAGAAAACAGTAAAGAAACAAACGAAAATTAAAATTTTAATATTTTTTTTCCAAATTTTGCATTTACTTACATTTTGGGATCCAAAAAGTAAAAATTTGAGCTGGGTAAAAAAAGCAAAAATTTGATTTTTAAGGGCTATATGCCAAATTTATAGGGGGAATAAAAATACGCAAATTTAAAAAAATTTTTAGTTTATTCAAAGTAGGGGAAATTGTCCCAGATCAATCCCAGAAAATTTTCCCCCCCTCATGCCCTTTGCAAAAAATTTGTTTTTGTCAAGTTTTTCCTTCGCCCGTTAAAGTTTTGAAAATTATCAAAAAAAACCCTTTTAAATAGTTCCCCGGTTTGGGTTTAAGGGCAAACCCCGTATTGGCCCAAAAAGTAAGCTTTTGGGGAAAGATCTTGGGCAACTTCGTCACAAAAAAATTAATTCTATTTCCTCTTTGTCAGGGGTCAAGTTTCAGGATTTAAGAATATTGGTTTAATTGTAATAGTATTTTAAGAAAGACAGGCAAAAATATTGCCAAATGAGTGCTCAAAGATTAAGACATAGGTTAAATTTATCCTTAAATTTTAGTTTATACATATTTTTGTAAATTTGATTGTGTTGGAAGCTAAAACTTACTGAAACACTTTCGATTCTGTTCCTGGAACCAATCAATACTTAATTATATGCTTAAAGTTTCTTGCTCGAGGAAACAACAGTGTCCTTGACAGGGTTTGAACCCACATGGCCAAATATCCTTAGAGTACTAGTCCTATGCGTTGACCACTCCGCCATGCCGCTACACAAAATTAAAACTTCAATTTTGAGGAGAAAAACTTTGTTTTCACTGCTGAGATTAAGACCCAGTCTAAATTTATCCTTATTTTGAGGAGCAGAACTTTAGTTTCCACTACTGCTTGCATAAACTTTTTTTACAAGTATAAGCAATTTCTTGCATTGATTACACAGTTACAATATTTACCTTGATTCTCTACAGCTTAGTAGTCGAGCCCAAATCAGGTCTACATCCACACTGTAACTCTCATTCTTATTGGCTGAAACAGTTTATTTAAAACAAGTAATAATTTTTACCATACATTCCTTTCATTATATTGTATTTCCTTGTTTGTTTGTGTTTGTTAGATAATAATAATGGCAACTTTCCAGGTTGAGTTGTTGAAAATAGAATTTGGTGACCTTTGAAGTGCAAATGTAAATAAGGAATATTTAAAAGACCATACTGTATCATAAATAAGATGTTCTAGGAATTTAGTTTTAATCAGATCAAGTCCCCTGACCTTACTACTATTGACCTTGAAAACATGTGTAAAGTTCCAAGTGAATTACCATCAGTGTTTATGAATAATAACAAAAGCCACAGTGTGTTTAATAAACCCAAAATAATTTTTTTGAATATCAAAAATAAAAAATGGGAATTTTATTATATTTTCCTTTTAAAAGGGGGAAAACTTTCACAATTTGGGTTAAAACCCCCTCAAAAAGTTGCCAGACCTTCTATACATTTTCCCCCCGGGTAAAAGGGCCTCGGGAACAGCCCTTTTTAGTTTTGCCATTTTCCCTTTTCAAAACATTTCTACCCATAGCTGCTTCCTCTTGGCCTGTAAACAGGGAATTTCTAATCATGGTTCATTAATTCAATAATTCTTATAGTGTCACTATGGCACCAGTCTGACATGACTCTATACAGTTCACAGACACTTGGGACTCAGGACTAGGTTTGTGAAAATTAACTCAAACTCACAACTAGGTTTGTGAAACTTAACTCAAACTTAGGACTAGGTATGTGAAACTTAACTCAAACTCACTACTAGGTATGTGAAACTTAACTCAAACTCACTACTAGGTATGTGAAACTTAACTCAAACTCACTACTAGGTATGTGAAAGTTAACTCAAACTCAGGACTGGTTTTGTGAAACTTAACTAAAACTCAGGACTGGTTTTGTGAAACTTAACTAAAACTCACTACTAGGTATGTGAAAGTTAACTCAAACTCAGGACTTGGTTTGTGAAAGTTAACTCAAACTCAGGACTAGGTTTGTGAAAGTTAACTCAAACTTAGGACTAGGTATGTGAAAGTTAACTCAAACTCAGGACTAGGTTTGTGAAAGTTAACTCAAACTCAGGACTTTGGTACTTGTGAAAGTTAACTCAAAACTCAGGACTTGGTTTGTGAAAGTTAACTCAAACTCAGGACTTGGTTTGTGAAAGTTAAACTCAAACTCAGGACTTGGTTTTTGAAACTTAACTAAAACTCAGGACTAGGTTTGTAAAAGTTAACTCCAACTCAGGATTAGGTTTGTGAAAGTTAACTCCAACTCAGGATTAGGTTTGTGAAAGTTAACTCAAACTTAGGACTAGGTATGTGAAACTTAACTCAAACTCACTACTAGGTATGTGAAAGTTAACTCAAACTTAGGACTTGGTTTGTGAAAGTTAACTCAAACTCAGGACTTGGTTTGTGAAAGTTAACTAAAACTCAGGACTGGTTTTGTAAAACTTAACTAAAACTCAGGACTAGGTCTGTGAAAGTTAACTCAAGCTCAGGACTAGGTTTGTGAAAGTTAACTCAAATTCTAAAGAAGAAATCATGTACATGAGGACTAGATTTACGAAGGACAACTGTATGCGTATGTCATATGTTTCACAAGATATACAACAAGCATACAGTATACCTGTCTACAAATTAATCAAATGTCAATAAAATTATATAATATTCATTTCTATGAAAGTAAGTTATTATTAAGGCCTTTAAAAGCCTAAATCTGCCTGTCATATTGAGCAATAGTTTCTATTCATTAAACAATGAAAAGAAAATTTTAATAAAACATGCTACGATAATAAAACATGCAACGATATATACGGTATATATTTTTTTTCCGAAAGGATTCAAAACCTTCACATTTTCAATTATTCAAAAATCAATGCCATTTATTTCCATATTGATACCTGTGTAATGTCTATAATCAGTCATAATCACCTTTTCACAAAATCTAGGGCCTGGCACAATAATTATAAATCACAGTAATGCTTAAATTCTTACATTGATATAAATTATTTGAGTTAAATTTGCATGGCTGAAGTGGAAATTTCAATTCAAAATCACTAAAAGATGAACTGTGTACTATCATTTTAAGAAATATCTTTTTCTTTTTCTTTTTTTTTCTTTATTATGATAAAAACAATAAGAAAATTTTTACACTTAGGAATAAACAGTGAGTGATATAAGTTATCTCTCACTGATAAGAAATCATATTTATTAATATAATTAAATTTCCCTATTTTTTCAAATACAAAATAAATTAAAATATGCTGATTTTTACCTGAGAAAATATCAGCCGTCCATTTTCATTACATGGTAATACATCGTCTATAAGAACTATCTGCCACACGCCGTCCTTACATAACCGCACCTGATATACGCCTTCTGGACAGTAATCCTTCGTTGGGATGATTTTCTTGATCAGTTCAGGCTGCTCGGCCAATACAGCTAGAGCACTTAAAAACCTGTTAATATAACAATTCGTATTTAACAACCCTTGGTGTTTATTTTATTTTTTGTTTTGATTTTACAAAAGGTTATAATTATTGTGCCTTAACAGCTTTCCCGATGGAGGTGGATCTCAGATGCCCCTTCGGCACAAAATAACACCAGAATTTCTAGAACTCCTTGAAATAATAGGTGTTCTGTTTGTTTGTTTTGTTTGGTTTGGTTTTACAGCGCACTAACACAATTTAGGTCAAATGGCACTGAAACATAAAAGATGATTTTGGCTAACCTTGGGTGTTACAAACGTTAAGCATTGCTGCAACACAAGGTGTCAAAACTACCTCCTGCTGGAGCTAAGAGATGCATAGACTCCAGTAATGCAAACCCAGTTAGTCGATTCTGACAATCGTGTAGAGATATCAGTGGCTCCCATTCTGATGCCTCGACCTTTAAAGGCATCCCCTCTGTCACAAGGGGGTAAAGGTGCTCTGTAGATGGGAATCAGTTGCACACAGTGCTCAAGTTTACTATAATTTTTTTCATCTTACGTGGAATTTAACACAGTGTTTGATTGTATTGGTGATGTGACCATATATTTTACCTTTTTTATTAGTTAAATGACTCATAGTGTAGGTGTTTCTTGGTTTCCTGTTCAATTAAATGTATCAATAAAGGCTTGAGAAAAATATAAAAATCTATATCTCAAATTCTCGGGGGAGACATCACCCCTATGACAAATTATACCTTGGATGTATATGATAACGCTTATTCTACATCCTGACCAATCAAATGTACAGAATGTTTTTTAATGAGCCAATCAGCAGCCAGCTCTCCATTTTTGGAATTTTACCTCCTTAAATGTCAATTAAGCTTTAATTACTTTCTTACACTAAACATCTTCAACCACTTGACATCAAAAATAGATAAAATAAAATCTGTTCCTTTAAAGCAGCTATCTCATAGGTTTGATAAAAATCAGCATAAAATAATCACAAAGCAAAACAGTTTATAGATGACAAATATTCAAGTCCTTTTTATCTCAAGTGATTTAAATATTCCCAATAACCTAAAAAATAACCTTGCAAACAAAACAATCACAAATTAAATTCGAGCAAATTTGTTGAATTGATATCCCTCGTCATACGATTTAAATCACTTCATGAAAGCTTCCTATTAGTAATTCCCACAAAATGAATTTGATGTCTTTACTTATAATCACATGAGCCCACACAAAACAGAGCAGTTGTTTTGTCAAAGCAGATCTTATAGTGAAGAAGATTTAACAAAATTAAAATGTTATTATGACAATGTGCAATGATTAATGTCAATTGAACATTCATATAAAGTGTGTTACGAAAAAAATTACAATTTAAGGAAATTTTTAGCGAAGTCTGTAATTTTATGTTAAAATTATCCAATTTATTGAATCCAATTTGGCTAGTTTTATTTCTAAACTTTTTTATGATTCATCAACATCTTTGCTTAAGCAAACAGAAAGTAAATACTTGATTCATACAAATTTTCAGAAGCAAATGTAAGGATTTTTTAAAGGATTTCTTTAAGGCCTTAAAAATCAAAAGCTAGGGAAGTGGTTATAAGCACTATGACCAATGTTAATTAAAAAAGTTAGGAAAGTGGTTATAAGCACTATGACCAATGTTAATTGAAAATTACAATTTCCTTCAATATTTTTACAATTTTGTTGAAAGGGTATAAGGAGGAACTACATGTCAAACATGGGGACAGTTTAACTAATTTCATTGAAGATTCTACCACTTTAGGTACTACTGTACTTTCATACAATTTTTAAATACAATGTAGAATTTTCAATCAAAAGTTGACATTTCAAATCTAAGGGCTTTTCATTACCTTTAATCAGTTTATTTTTTTAGGGTCTTTTAAGGCAAGATTTCATTTACAAGGGTTTTTCAAAACTGACATCACAATATCATTCAACGGTTTTTCAAAAGCTAAGCTAATCATGGAATATGATCTTTGCTTTAATGAAGTAGAAAGCGAATATCACTCAAAATTACAATATTTACCAACAATTCCCTAATTCTCCCTGTGATATGTCATCTGGCATTGGCGTTCTATAAACAACCCACGGCACCTTGTCTTCAGAGCGATGCGACTGAATCTTATCACAGCGTAACCACTGAACTAAATGACGAGCTAACGAACTACTAGGGTCTTTATACAAAGATTTGTCGACCGGTGGAAATGAATCATCAACAAACTTTTCTTTATTCTGAAATTAAAAAACAACATATATTTAAATTCTTTATATGAATGGTTAATATCCAAAAGTGGTCTCTTAAAACAAGTAATCATGATCTGAAATTGTTCAAATGAAAAAACAAAATTGTAGTGACACTATTCCCATACTAGTGAAAATGCTTAAGTGTATGAATTTTCACAAAATCTAGGGCCTGGCACAAATTAATAGTTATAAATCATAGTAATGCTTAAATTCTTACATTGATATAAATTATTTGAGTTTAATTTGCATGGCTGAAGTGGAAATTTCAATACAAAATCACTAAAAGATGAGCTATGTACTATCATTTTAAGAAATATTTTCATTTTTATTTTATTTATTTTTATTATGATAAAAATGATAAAAAAAATTTCAAACTTGGGAATAAACAGTGTTCGATATAAGTTATCTCTCTCACTGATAAGATATCGTATTTAATTTCCTTATTTTTTTTCAAATTCAAAATACAATAAATTATGTTGATTTTTACCTGAGAAAATATCAGCCTTCCATTTTCATTACATGGTAAGACATCGTCTATTAAGACTATCTGCCACACGCCGTCCTTACATAACCGCACCTGATATACACCTTCCGGACAATAATCCTTCGTCGGGATGATTTTCTTGATCAGTTCAGGCTGCTCGGCCAATACAGCTAGAGCACTTAAAAACCTGTTTATATAACAATTCATATTTAACAACCCTTGGTGTTTATTTTATTTTCAATTTTGGGTTTTAAGTCACATTTATATTGCAAAGGTTATAATTATGGTGCCTTAACAGCTTTCCCTGTGGAGGATCTCAAGTGCCCCAGTTCATGCATTATTTGAGGCACAAAATAACACCAGAATTTCTAGAACTCCTTGAAATGATAGGTGCTCTGTTTGTTTGTTTTGTTTGGTTTGGTTTTACAACGCAATAACAAAATTTAGGTCAAATGGCACTAAAAAATGAAAGATGATTTTGGCTAACCTTGGGTGTTACAAACGTTAAGCATTGCTGCAACACAAGGCGTCAAAACCACCTCACCTGCTGGAGCTAAGAGATGCATAGACTCCAGTAATTGAACCTATTTAGTCGCCCCTTACAATCATGCAGAGATAAATGGTGGCTTCAAGTCTGATGCCTCGACCTTTAAAGGCATCCCTCTGTCACAAGGGGGGAAAGGTGCTCTGTAGAGGGGAATCAGTTTCATATAGTGTTCAAGTTTACTATAACTTTTTTTCATGCAGTCTTTACTCTTAATGGAATTTAACACAGTGTTTGATCGTATTGATGATGTAACCATATATTTTACCTTTTTTTATTAGTTAAATGACTCATAGTGTAGGTGTTTCTTGGTTTCCTGTTCAATTTAATGTATCAATAAAGGCTTGAGAAAAAATATAAAAATCTATATCTCAAATTCTCGAGGGAGACATCACCCCTATGACAAATTATACCTTAGATGTATATGATAATGCTTAATCTAAATCTTGACCAATCAAATGTACAGAATGTTTTTTAATGAGCCAATCAGCAGCCAGCTCTCCATTTTTGGAATTTTACCTCCTTAAATGTCAATTAAGCTTTAATTACTTTCTTACACTAAACATCTTCAACCACTTGACATCAAAAATAGATAAAATAAAATCTGTTCCTTTAAAGGAGCTGTCTCATAGGTTTGATAAAAATCAGTGGAAAACAATCACAAAGCAAATCAGTTTATAGATGACAAATATTCAAGTCCTTTTTATCTCAAGTGATTTAAATATTCCCAATAACCTAAAAAATAACCTTGAAAACAAAACAATCACAAATTAAATTCGAGCAAATTTGTTGAATTGATATCCCTCGTCATACAATTTAAATCACTTCATGAAAGCTTCCTATTAGTAATTCCCACAAATGAATTTGATGTCTTTACTTATAATCACATGAGCCCACACAAAACAGAGCAGTTGTTTTGTCAAAGCAGATCTTATAGTGAAGAAGATTTAACAAAATTAAAATGTTATTATGACAATGTGTAATGACTAATATCAATTGAACATTCATATAAAGTGTGTTACGAAAAAATTACAATTTTAGGAAATTTTAAGCGAAGTCTGTAATTTTATGTTAAAATTATCCAATTTATTGAATCCAATTTGGCTAGTTTTATTTCTAAACTTTTTTATGATTCATCAACATCTTTGCTTAAGCAAACAGAAAGTAAATACTTGATTCATACAAATTTTCAGAAGCAAATGTAAGGATTTTTTAAAGGATTTCTTTAAGGCCTTAAAAATCAAAAGCTAGGGAAGTGGTTATAAGCACTATGACCAATGTTAATTGAAAATTACATTTCCTTCAATATTCTTACAATTTTGTTGAAAGGGTATAAGGAGGAACTACATGTCAAACATGGGGACAGTTTAACTAATTTCATTAAAAATTCTACTGGTTTCGGTATTACTGTACTTTCATACAATTTTTAAATACAATGTAGAATTTACAATCAAAAGTTTAAATTTCAAATCTTAGGGCTTTTCATTACCTTTAATCAGTTCATTTTTTTAGGGTCTTTTAAGGCAAGATTTCATTTACAAGGGTTTTTCAAAACAGACATCACAATATCATTCAATGGTTTATCAAAGCCTAAGCTAATCATGGAATATGATCTTTGCTTTAATGAAGTAGAAAGCGAATATCACTCAAAATTACAATATTTACAACAATTCCCTAATTCTCCCTGTGATATGTCATCTGGCATTGGCGTTCTATAAACAACCCACGGCACCTTGTCTTCAGAGCGATGCGACTGAATCTTATCACAGCGTAACCACTGAACTAAATGGCGAGCTAACGAACTACTAGGGTCTTTATACAAAGATTTGTCGACTGGTGGAAATGAATCATCAACAAACTTTTCTTTATTCTGAAATTAAAAAACAACATATATTTAAATTCCTTATATGAATGGTTAATATCCAAAAGTGGTCTCTTAGAACTAGTAATCATGGTCTGAAATTGTTCAAAGGGAAAAACAAAACTGTAGTGACATTCTTCCCATACAAGTGAAAATGTGAAGTGTACAAGCAAAATTCAAACTTAATTTTACATTTTGTCATATTTGTTTTTAATTTTATGATTTTCATTATTTGAATAATCTTATGACCAAGGACTGGTTTTCTACTGAAAATTCAATAAATATCCCTCGAAAATCGGTAATTGATAAAAGTATGGCAGTCTTTTTTTAATATTTTATCCTCATCATTTGTCATTATCAAATAATGATCAAACTTTTGAAATATGTAACTTACTCAGCGCTTAACATGACAGTGACAAAATTAGCATAATGTCATTTTTAGATACAGATATTGTGCACAATGAAAATTGCTTTAATTTCAATGTTGCCTTTAGCACAATTATATTTTCATGAACTAACTGCACTAACAAGTATATTAATTGAAAGATAAAGATCAATTTGCAAACATTTCAGGGGCACAAGTATCCATTATACATTTGTATTTAAAACTTGGCTTTTTCATACAGCTTCAAGAAAAATAATGCTATAATCTTACTTTCATATCAAAAGTAGTGCAAAACCGTCATTGTATCATACATTTGGAATTTTTATCTCACCTGTTTACAGAAGAATCGTATGTTTTGCCACAGCTCTAAGGCCTCTTGGTCCTCAATATCCCTCAGCTCAATGAAAGAGACGGACTGCTGGCGCTGTAAAGTATGTCTCGGTCTTATCGTCCCGCACAATGACTCAGTCGTGTCCCCTTTACCTATTTCTAGATCGTAACCACACACTTTACACTCTCCTGTAGATTTAGAGTTCATAACAGTGCAGACTGAACACTGCTTTCCTGTCATTTTATCAGTTTTCTTTGGGACTTTATCTTTTCCTTTTTGCTGATTAACTTGCTCTTTACTAGCTCCTTTTTTAACAATTCTTTTCTCTTTCACATTTGTTTCTGGTGTATCTACCTCAATCACTTCTTTATTATCTTTAGAATCTTTTCCAACATTTGCTGCCTTACCAGCATTAGCACTTTTACCTGTTTCTTTGTCTTCAGGTTTCTTATTGTCACCAGTTACTGCAGGTTTTAAGTCCTTTTTCGTACCACATGCTGTACATGAAGTTTCTGACACAGCATTTATAAGAGTACAAGTCAAACAAACCCAGTCACCTTCCTTTATTTTTATACTTTTACTGAGGTCACACATTTTACAAACCAGCTGTGAGCTTGGATTTTCAAAGGTACATTTGGAGCATTTCCAATTTTTGCTCTCCTCCGCATTTTTCTCAATCTTATCAGGGGATTGTTTTTGCACACCAGAGGTTGATGGCTTAGGAGGTGGAATTACAGTTTTGGTATTTGTTGGTTTTGCAACAGGCTTTTTTCCAGCAACTGGAGCTCTGCTGGGGATAGTTGGTTTACCATTTTCTTTTATGCCTTTGCCATTGGTTTTAAGTCTTTCTGGGACTTTAGGAGGGTCTTTAGGTGGCTTGTCACTGTCAATAGTTTTAGGGGAACTCTTCTTATATTTAGATGGTCTAAGTCCCTTTTCACATTTTGTACATCTTTCACTAAATGAAGGATTACAAGAAAATGTACATTTATCACATTTCCATTCCTCTGTATCTAGATCAACATTTTCCCCTGTTTTTGCACCATTCACTACTTTGGGTCTAGCACCTCCAGCTTCTTCACTATTCAAATTCACAATATTGCGCCTGTCAGTTTTTTCCTTATTTGGAGAAACTGGTGAAGTTGAAGGGGGGAATTTGGAGTAATCAATATCAGTTGGAATTTCATCTGGACTTGGAATATTTGATTTTTTTGGAGCTTCACACATTTTACATTTCAGAGCAGCTTTTGAATTTTTAAAAGTACATCTTTTACATGACCAATTTTCTTCCTCTTCTTTTAAAGCCCCTTTGTTATCATCAACTTTTGTATCTTGTTTAAGATCAGTTTCACTGTTTCCTTTCTTGTCACTTCCATTACTTTTTATATCAACTTTGTCTTTACCAGTTTTAACAGGCTCATTTGGTTTGACTCGCTTCTCTGATTTATCTTGTTTAATCATTATCACATTTGCTGTTTTATTTGTATGACAGCATATACAACTGTCAAAGTACACATCATTGTGTACATTACAGGTAGAATTTGGACAAACCCATTTATAGTCATCTTCAACTATAGGTGGACTCTCACCTGCTTTATGTTTACCAGGAGTGCTCTTTGCAACTTTCGGAAGTTCAGATTTACTTGGAGGAGTCACAACCTTATTCACTTTCTTCAGTTTATCACTATTAATCTCTTTGCCTTTACTTTCTTTACTAGTATCTCCTGCAGCTCTTCCTTTAACTGCTGATGTTCCAGGGCTTGTCTTTTTCTTAGCTCCTCCAGCATTATCAGTAACTTTTCCTACAGGTTTCTTTTCTTTTACTGCTTCTTTTGAATTTGCGTCTTTACTTTTGCTTGCACCAGATTCTGAATTACCATTAGTTATTTTCTTATCATCTGCCTTAGCAGTCTCAACTGCTCCAACTCCATCAATTACATCTACACCTGGTGCTTTATTTCCCTCAATTTTAACACCTTTAAACACTTTTGGAGGTATTTCTGGTGAGCTTGACCTTGGGTCAACACCTTTAAAAACTCTAGGTAAATGGTTAGAGGAGTTGAACTCACTAGTTTTAAAAACTTTGGGCACATTTTCAGGTATGTCAGGCATTTTAGTTTGACACATTTCACAGACATTTTGGGCGAAGGAATTGATAAAGGTACAGGTTCTACAGCTCCAGTTCACAAGTTCTTCATCCATCACAGCTTTTATTTATGTCCTTTAGTTCTGTCTGAAACATAATTTACATTTGCTTTCATAAAAATAAGCAATAAACAAGCAATTATCATAGTATTGCAAGCAATCCATTAGTCCCCTACCAGTAAGAGCCCAAGCAACATTCTGAAGGGCCATTGGCCATTCACTTAGGTTCCTATTTTAAGTAAATTTGTCGAAAAAGTTCTTTAAAAGTGATCACAGGAAACAGTTTTAATGTACAGACAGACGGACTGAAGGACACTCTAAATTTATTTTTTAAACATCCCTGTTATCAAAATATAACATTTTTAAAATCCTATCATGATTGAAGAAGTTGGAGTAAACATTACCAATTTCTCAAAAAAAGTCTAAGTTCAAAAGGGGCATAATTCTGGAAATAGTCTTGCTAGAGTATTGAACACTCATAAATGTTGAGTGATAATAAGAAACATTTATATGAAGTTTGAAGTAGATACATTCAGAAAAAGAAGTTATTAAAAAAACAATGTTTTTTTTTCATGAAAATTTTAAGTTCAAGGGAGGTAATTCTGAAAAATTTTGTCCTAGAGTTGTAAACCTTGTCACATATGATGTGGTTGATGACAAGCAACTTATATTTAAAGTTTGAAGAAAATACCTTAAGAAATAAAGAACTTATAGTGAAAAAACTTAAAAACTAGAATCAGAAATCTTGAAATTCAGTCTATTTGTTGCCATAGCAACAAGAATTTTCAACATAGGAAGATAAGAAAAGAATGTGCATAATTTCTATACCGCCATCTACCCATATGTCAAGTTTCATAAACATATTTTCAGTACTTTTTGTGTTATCACTGGATCCAGGTTATGTGTAAAATTTGCCATATTTTCAGTCTATTTGTTGCCATAGCAACCAGAATTTTCAACATAGGAAGGAAAGAAAAAGACGTGCATAATCTCCATACTGCCATCGATCTATATATCAAGTTTCATAAAAATATTTTCAGTACTTTTTGCGTAATCGCGGGATCCAGGTTATGTGTAAAATTTGCCATATTTTCAGTCTATTTGTTGCCATAGCAACCAGAATTTTTAACATAGGAAGAAAAGAAAAAGACGTGCATAATCTCCATACTGCCATCTATCCATATATCAAGTTTCATTAAAATATTTTCAGTACTTTTTGCGTTATCGCGGGATCCAGTTTTGTGGACGGACGGACTGACGGACGGACAGACGGACGGACTGACGGACGGACGGACGGACGGACAGACGGACGGAGGGTAAACCTAAAGTCCCCTCCGGTAAACCGGTAGGGGACTAATTACATTTTTGAACCCTTACCACACTTTTATATCTAAAATGGCCTTGTGCATCTTTCAAACTGGACAAAACGATTTGTCATAATATCAAAAGTGAAATTTTCAAAATATGTACAGACTGAATAGCCAACAGTGCGGATCATGAAGTCAAAGACGTTAACTTCTTGACAATGGAAACCCTTGCATCAATGTTGTGGAGAAAGAAAAACTGATAAAATTTTAAAAAACAATTAATCCTATATAAAGTTAACCTTTTTCAAAATTTTTATCAATAATTATAATGACCCTGAGCTTAGCCAATAGGGCCTGGGTTACAAAGATAACCTTGATCTCTTCATAATCTACTAATACACCAAAATATTTTATTTATTATCAGCGCCTCAATACTGAGTAAACTAAGGTTATCACCCATTCATTTTTCTACTTTCAGTTTCAGCTATGGTGACCTAATTTCAGTCCAATATTACTTACAAACCATTATAGTCCATCACATAAAAAACAATTATATCACCAATATGAATACTGGTGGAAATACTGTATTGCCTGAGCTTTAAGTATAGGGTCAGATCAATAGACCGGGCAGCAATTCTTTCTGTTTGATCAGATCAGTTTACTGGTCTGCAATTCCATGCTGCCTGACAAGATCAGTTTACTGGTCTGCACTTTCAAACAGTCTGATCAGATCAGTCTACTGGTCTGCACTTTCATTTGTTTGATCAGATTCAATACTGTTTGCTTCTTATTATCATTTTCATTCATTTTGTTTAAAGGTTGCTTAAAATTCACAAATATTAAGTATTGCATCATTTGTAAAAAATGTTAACTCTATTCAAATAGAGTATAGAAATCGAATAAAAATGAAAATATGTTGTTAGGTTGACATCAAAAGTGGTTAATGGCTTGCAAAAAGTAACTATGTACATATATTGTTTACTTTACATTGCTTTGAGAAGTAACTTAACATATTTCTCAGTATTGAATAATGAAAGTAAAACATCTTACAAAATTTTCATGCCTCTACGTTTAAACATTTACATTAACTTTGTACCTCAAACAACCTGCAGAGAATTTCAGTTTCACTAGAGTATTAATTAAATTACTAACCTGACTTACCTAACTACAAAAATCAAGCAAACAAAAAATATATCCATGTTAATGTATACATTATATGTAATTATTGACACAATTTTTCTTTTTCATTTCTGAGAAACAATACTGAAACTTGGTACATATTTTTCAACGAAAGATAAAAATCTAAATTCTAAATATAATAACGTATTTACATACCCGATTTTTTCTTCTTCTAAAACTGCTTTGCTAACTTCATTTAATTAAGTTCCTCGTTTGCGAAATTTTTGTCCGCTGTGACCTTTAGGTTTGATTTTTTCTGCCATCTGAAAAATCAAAATTTATCAAAAATTTAGAGATATGTTATCCACTAAAGCTCATTATCAATAATTGGTTGATATAAATCACTATGATAAAACTTACAGTATAAAGTTCTTTTATGAACTTCCTATTTCAGTAAAAGTAAAGAAATCCATATTTGGTTAATGATAAGAAATCAGTGATAATGTCAGAACGAAACAATCATGACAATCATGTATTGTCGTAAATATAAAACAACAAACAAAAAATCACACAACAATGTCCTCTGAAATTGATTTATAATTTAAGTACAAATCTTTCAACTTTTATTTTTGTGTAAGTATTTTTAAGTTTTTAGTAAAATATTTTGTTATTTATTGGCACAAAAAAATATTGTTTCCTATCAAATAATAAAACTGGGAAGGAATCATAATGATAATATCTATCATGTGTTGTAGTTATTTGTTATGACTGACAGTACCTGCTCATTGGCTTGCCTAAGAGTTACCACCCATGAGGGTGGGGGGTGGGGTACCCAACGGACAGATATTCTTATCAAAACTGTAAGAACATGTCTGTATTCTACTTTACTTTAAATGTACATTTTGATCAATATATTTATTAAGGTATGCTAAATGTAAAAATTGCTACCATGTTGTTATGTTATTTTTATATGTTGTGAAGACATATTTTCGTCAAAACTATTACTAAAATATGTAACTGTTGTCTTGATTTTTTACATAATTATAGCAGTGTATGATTTACAATAATGTCATTTATAATGCCTTAGTGATGCCATCCTAAACATCAGTCTGGTATGCAAGAAGAGCAACCAGCAGCTCATGATAGCCAATTGCATGTAAACTGGGAAATATGCACTTTTTTTATTCAAGGGCCATAACTCAGCCAAAAATCATTCAACCGGAACAACCGTGTCATATGCACAAGTACTTGAGCTACCAATTAATCATGTTAAAGTCCATTGAAATTGCATTAGAGGTATAGGAGAAGTAGTCCGGACAAATTTTAAAAATATAAATCATAAAATGGCCATAAATTTTTACATTCATAAAAAGAATGAATAAACAGTAATAGAGGGTATATTCATTGAAAAACTCTTAACTCCCTGGAACCGGAAAATGATAAGCTTTTGCCACTTATATCGAGCAAAGCAAGCCTGTGCATTGCAGGATTCTTGTAGTTTGACCAGGCTCTATATACTGTTGGTTGACTAACTTTTTAACTAATTTTTTTACTAACTTTTTAACTAATTTTTTATTTTGGTAACTCAAAATTCTTCAAAACAGACAGTTCCAAAATTGTTGAAGGTTAAGAATTTAAAATGGTAAAATGTTTAAAAGTAAGCTTAATTAGATAATGCCACTTTTGTCACTGTACAACCTAAAATTCTTATGCCTTTGGATTTATTTACATGTAAGTCCATGAAAAACACTGTCAAAGTCATAATTACTACTAAATTGACTTTCTACCATTATATTTTGCATACACACTTAACAACTAACCTTATAAGGTCATAAATGTAAGCTTTTACTCAGAAAAAATGTGATTTCTATTTGTTTTAGTTGTTTTAATTTGGCTAGATTTATAAATTACACTGCCAATATCTTATGCCTTTTCAGCTTTACTGGCAGTAAGGCAGACCTCAGATATACTTTTGTGTGTATTATTTCACCTGAGTAGAACCAAGCATGTGTGGGAACCTCAGGGTAGAACCAAGCTTGTGTGTGAACCTCAGGGTAGAACCAAGCTTGTGTGGGAACCTCAGGGTAGAACCAAGCTTGTGTGGGAACCTCAGGGTAGAACCAAGCATGTGTGGGAACCTCAGGGTAGAACCAAGCTTGTGTGGGAACCTCAGGGTAGAACCAAGCTTGTGTGGGAACCTCAGGGTAGAACCAAGCTTGTGTGGGAACCTCAGGGTAGAACCAAGCATGTGTGGGAACCTCAGGGTAGAACCAAGCTTGTGTGTGAACCTGAGTAGAACAACCTGAGTAGAACCAAGCTTGTGTGGGAATCAGAGTAGGACCAAGCTTGTGTGTGAACCTGAGTAGAACAACCTGAGTAGAACATGAAGCTTGAATGGGAACCTGAGAAGAACCAAGCTTGTGTGTGATCCTGAGTAGAACAACCTGAGTAGAACCTGAAGCTTGAAAGGGAAACCTGAGTAGAACCACTGACTACAGATAGTTCCCCCACATGAAAGAATCTAAAAAAAACCTGTTGTTACGGAATTTGGGCAGACAGTTGCAATTTGCAAGTGATTAAAATATCAGCAACTTTAACCACTAATGGCAAAAAAACACCCAATTCCAATCCTCAAAAACTCAACTGAAAATTTTCATATACATGTAAATATATCAGAAAAATAATTCATACTTAACATGTAAGAAAAGTATCCTTTGAATGACACATTAACATTTTCATTCCACTGGCAAAATACATCAGGTTTTATTTTTCAAATGTATCTGTCATTTTATATATTCATTATATTTGTAAACACTATAACAACAGTATCCTGTTTCAATATATATAATTACTAGTATACAAACTTTTTAAAAAAGAACCTACATGCTGAAAAACAGTTTTGTGGCAACTGCAGTTACTATGCTGAAATCTTTAAAGGTTTTACACCTAATATTTATCTTTAAAGGTGCTCTTCCAAATATGTATTTCTAAAGTTGTCCATCTAAAAGGTCTTCTTTTCAAAAAATCTTTATTTTGAAATTTTAAGTTTAAAATACACAGGTGGATTTAAATATTGATTGATAAATTATAATCAGTAAAGTTTATAAAAGCACAGCATTCTGTGTCTTAATATATGCATGTTCATATTGATATTACAAGTAGATTATGTTGACTTAATTACTCCGGAATTAAGAATATTTTGGGTTTTTCCCAACTAATCCAGGGGTACAAACAAACTTTTACAGTTACAGCTTTGAAAATAAATACAATAGGGTTGACTAATCTATTGTTACAGGTTGTGTACCTTAAAGCTTTAATAGTAAATTTTGTTTGTACTCCGCAATTAGCTTGGAAAAACCCACATTTGCCAAATTCCGTATAACATCTATTCATCTATTAAGAATATTTGAGCCATGTCATGACAAAACCAACATAATGGTTTTGCGAACAGCATGGATCCAGACCAGCCTGCGCATCCGCGCAGTCTGATCAGGATCCATGCTGTTCGCTATCAGTTTCTCTACTTGTAATAGGGTTTGTAGGCGAAAAGCATGGATCCTGATCAGACTGCGCGGATGGGCAGGCTGGTTTGGATCCATGCTGGTCGCAAAACCATTATGTTGGTTTTGTCATGACACGGCTCATTTTAGGTTTTCCTAGCGAATCCAGGATACATTTCACCTGTACAGTGACAATTTTGAGAATAGGTGCAAACAGGATGACTTATCTATTGTGAATGGTAGTGCACTGTGAAGCTATAACAGAGCAAACGTTTGTTTGTACCTGAGGAGTTAAGCTTTCAAAAAACAACATCTACTGAGTTCTGGATATACAACTATATCTGTAACTAAAACTGTGTTTTATTTATGATGAAATTTTTTGAATTTATACCAAAATTTGTTTACTTCCTGATTATATAATAACATTTGTTATTTTCAAGTTCTGAAAGTGAAACTGTTCGTATTTAACTCTACTGTATGTGTAATTTAAATATTAAAATTGTAAATTAAAGTTTAAATTTTCCGGTTCAAAGCATCTAAGGCAATACTCCACCAAAAAGTGTCTGTCAATAATGGCAATTAAAAGTTTTAATGGTAATAATCAAACAGTCATTTTGGTAAAATATAAGAACTTTGAGTTTTGTTCATTTTCTTGCTCATAATATTTATCAAACACATTGTACATTAATAATTTAGTCTAGTACCTTACACAATGTACCTTTAATAAATGCAAATAATGTACAGTATATATATGTGTATGTCAGATCAATTCAGACCAAATTTAAATATTTCATTCACACTGTCTTGTCACTGTGATTGATTGTAAATTGTCAACTCAAATAATAAATTATAAATCAATTAAGAAAATAATGTAAAATAGGCAATAAATTTGTAAGAACTACTGTTGTTGTTGTTTACACATGATATTTTTTTAATGTGTCTAAAATCTCAGAAAAGTTGTCAGTCTTCATAGACTATAGAGCCACTGGCCAGCCTGCACTTCCATTCAGTTTGAGCAGATACTGTTGGCAGCTCTTGTTTTTGTATATCCAAATAGAAAACACTTCATCATTAAATTGACTGCTTATAGATTCAAATCAGGGGGAAGTAATTATACAAATTCAAGAGGTAACAAGGGTGCCATAGTCACAAAATACGCCCGTTTACGAAAGCTTTAGATGGAGATGGGGGCATTATGGATAAGTGTTATCTAGCAAGCAAGTTTTTATTCTTGGCACTGTGTTGTTAAATGAACCTTAAAACAAATCAGTAGGGAAGATATGCACAGGATGTGTGACCTTGACCTTGGTCGCAGGGACCTGAATTTTATGCACGGCACTCAGCCTCACAATGATGTTTATTTGTGCCAAATTATATTGAAATCCCTCTATGCATGTAGAAGTTTTGCTCCAGACAAGCGTTTTTCTATGAGCTCTAACTGTGACCTTCACCTTTGACCTAGAGACTTGGTTCATGTGCAGGGCACTACGTCTCATGGTGGTGAACAATTCTATAAAGTAACATTAAAATTCCTCCATGCATGTAGAAAATATGCTCCGGACAACATCTGGATATTTAATCATCTCCAGTGACCTTGACCTTGCAAATATTAACCTAAATTATATGTGTCACACCTGTAGTCATGATAGTTACCATTTGTGCTACAATCCATCAATAAATGATGACTAAATGGTCCCTATACACATCTTCAAATTTTTATCTGAACTTTGACCTCTATGTGTAACCTTGACTTTGATCGCAGGGATCTGAATTTTGCGTGCGACACTCAGCCTCAAAATGGTGAACATTTGTGCCAAGTTATA